CTCTCTCTCACTCTCTCTCTCACTCTCTCTTTTCCTCTCTCACGCACACACCCCTTTTGCTGAACCCTTGTCGTGCCTCGCTCCTCAGCAGCCGCCCTCAAAGCTAAGAAACCCGTCACGTCTTCCAATGGAACATTCTGCATCTGCACCCGCACCCGCAACCACAACCCATGGCCCACCCATCCACAGTTCACAGCTTCACGCCCTCAAACCCTGTACTACGCGTTATCCACACTCTCTCGCACCCCCCCTCCCCTAGTGGGTTGCGGCTTGCCCTGGCCTAGTGGGTGGTGCTTGGATGCTTGTGCTTTGGTGCTTTGGTGGGTGCCTCACTGCCATGCCAGTTGTGGGTGCCACCTCGTCGGCCGCATCTCCATGTTGCGCATCTCCATGCGGCAGCGCTGTATCTCACGATAACTTCCCAAACTGTCTTCTTCCGCAATACCCAACCCTGCTGTCATACCTTGACCACCTATTTGCCTGCCCGCCCTCACTCCCCCCCTCTCGTCTCATCCTGTCACACTTCCTTACATCCGATAATGCTTTTGGACTTGTTAGTTCGTTTTGCTGGCTGAAGGCTTCTTTCTGGTGGCTACCGCCCATGACAAGTGCATGCAGGCGAATCCCCTTCCCGCACAACGTCTCTTGTCTCAATTGCACAATTATCCGGGAGCGCGCCGGCAATAAAGACCATTGCTGTGGTACATGGCTATTGAACGGGTTGTTCTTTTGCCTGGTCCCACCAGGGTTGTGACATCCGTCCGCAGCGACGTACGTGCGAAGAAACAGCGCTTCTAGTCCGAAAGTTTGGGGGCCGCGAGTTTGCACGGAGCTCTGCCGATGTTTGGGAAAACGGTCGAGCGGGCTTTCTTTGCCGGACAGAAATCTGCTTCAACGTACTCCCGTCACGATCCGAGTTGGTTCTTTACTAGTGGACCAGAAGAAAATTGTCCGATGCCAATGCCGGAACCTCATGCTTCCAGTTCTGGGAACAACCATGTCCGTAGGGATATCGAAAATGTCGTCTGTGGTGTTTAGCAAAGATTGGTGACGTCCTGAACCACGATCGTTGTGGTCGTCTCGCTCATCACACGGCGTTTGACTTTGAACCAGGCCACAGCAGTTGACTTTCTCGTTACTGTGGATTTGTCGCTGTAGTAAAAATCGATATTTATCAACAACGCAGTGCACCGTATGGTAGGTATGTAAGCAAGAAGTCTACGAAGCACGAGATTGATAATGCAGACTGAGTACGGAGTATTGGGGATCTCCTATACGACAAGCCAATGGAGACAGACACATGGAATGGCACATCAAATCTAAGGGATTGACCAGCCAGCTCGGGGTAACATATCGAGTTGCTTACCTTACCTTGGCTACTGGGAAATGCAAGTAAGGTGTCGGTAGGCGAGCGAAATAGAGGCTGGTGACGAAGGTTTGCGAGTGAGGTACGCGCGAGGTACGGAGTGCGGGCTGCACCTGCACCCCACCGCCCTACTAGTAACACGCCCCCGCTCCGAGAGCTAGCGTCAACACTAAGGCCCCCCTGCCCTACTGAACCGATTCAGTCGCCGCCGCCTAGGTACCCACGTACCATATCCCAAGCCTGGGCAGATTGAAACCACCCACACCCGCTGGGAGCAAGCGCCACATGGAAAGAGACCCACCTTTAGAGCCAGCTCACCAAGAAATAAAAAAGATACAAAAAAACATAGAAACGCACAGACCTGGTCTCCATGTCTGTAGCGGTGTCCCGGTCGATACCTGACGCTACATGACTATCGCCCGTGATGCCTGCTTCGTACCCGTCAACGCTCGCCTACGATGCCCTAGTGCCGTACCTCTCTCTGCACCTTGAGCATGTATCTCAACTGACCCTGCTACTTCCCGGTCGTCTACCTCTAGCTTGGCGTGCACCTGGATCCAGGGGGGGGGGGCGGCACAGAGCAGTTCACCTCTGATGGGACCCACCTTTGGATCAAATCCCCAGGCGGCTCCCATCCGTCTTCTTTTTTCGCCTGTGCACCTTGCACCTTGCACCGTCTCCTCTCGTTCCACTCGCCAGCCTCTTCAGGACAGGTCCCTTTCTCTCCTTCCACCTGCTTTGCCTAACCCAAACTTTTCTTCCCCTTCCTCTCTTTTCCCCCATCTCCGCCGTGACAGACTCGACACGCGCGCCGCGCACATAACATCATCAATCGCGAGCCCAACGCCTTTCTATTCCATCATCCCCTTACGCCAACCGATTCCCTGACGCATCACGCATCGCGCAGCGACCATCTGCGTCTTTCTGACTGGACGGCTCTGCCGCTGTCAACGCAACTACCCCAGACCTTACCTAAGGCAAATCGCGCCTTGCCTCAGTGCATCCAGTCGATTGAAGGGGGCCCATAGCCGCAACACCTAAATTTTCCGAGCCACGACAACCTCAAACCCAAACCCGACGCATCCTTTTCATCATCGACGCTCGAATTGCGGTTTCTCGCGGTTTTACTTTCCCTGATAAACTTCGCCGCTTCAACTTCATCAACACCACTTACCCCACCGGGCGCGATTTTGTTTGTTTCCAGACTAGAATAATCTTGTCGACTCCAACCGCAGCCATGTCCATGTATCCGCATCGCGCCATGGGCGCGGTGCCCCCCAACAACTCGGCCCGACTCAATGAGCTCCTCGAGCAAATCAGATCCGAGTTCGACACCCAGATGCGCCAGACCGAGGGCTATGAACACCAAAGTAAGACGATTGCGTTCGACACCTATCGTCAGTCACGCTAACGAATTGTCCAGTCCAGGCGCAGGTTCAGGAGATGCAGCTTGTTAGAGAAAAGGTGTACGCAATGGAGCAGGCGCAGATGAATCTCAAGCAAAAGTATGTCGATGGAAGCAATTGCGAGCCGAGACCGTCCACAAGAAGCTAACAGCAAGCCTTGAACAGATACGAAGAGGAAATTGCCATGCTCCGCCGCCAGCTTGAGGGAGCTCGTGGAAACGCGCCTCCTAGCATCGGCGGTCCTCCTCCCCACGCGGGCCCGTCGCAACAGCCCCCCTCCATCACCCCCGGCACCGGTCTATTCAACGGTATCATGACCGGTGGTGGCCAGGGCCAGCTGGCCCCTCCTCCGCCCCCTCCTCCCCCTCAAGACCAGCAAATGGGCCCGCAGCATCAGATGGCCCAGGGACCTCCGGGTCTGCCTGTCCCGCCTCCGCCGCCACCTCAGTCGCAGCAGCCTTTCCAGCAATATCCCCCGGGTCCCGGTGGCCCCGTATCTAACGGTCTCGGCTCTCAGCCCCCCCAGACCACTGCATCGCCGGGTCCGGGCAGACGTGGAATCGGAAGACCACCTGCAGCTGTCGGTCCGGCTACGCCCCAGATCAACACTCCCATTCCTTTCCCGGGCGCCACCCAGTCGCCTCAAGTCAGCCATCCTACTCCCGATCACGCGCGGATGGGGGGCCCCCACGCTCCGCCGGTGGGAAACGCCCTTGGCGATCTCGACCCTGATCGCCTGCCGCCTCACTCAAAGAAATCGGGTCACGACTGGTTCGTCATCTTCAATCAACACGTGCCTCGCATGTTGGATGTCGATCTTGTCCACACTCTCGCACACGAGAGTGTAGTCTGCTGCGTGCGCTTCAGCCACGACGGCAAGTACGTAGCCACTGGCTGTAACCGTTCCGCTCAGATTTACGACGTTCAGTCTGGCGAGAAGCTCTGTGTCCTTCAGGATGACACTGTGGATATTACCGGCGATCTGTACATTCGCAGCGTTTGCTTCAGTCCCGATGGCAAGTACCTCGCTACCGGTGCCGAGGACAAGTTGATCAGAGTAAGTTTTGGCTGAAGCGACATATGGGGGTGGGTACAGGGTAAACTAACTTTGTTTTCTTTCTTAGGTCTGGGACATCCAGTCTAGAACGATTCGCAACACCTTCTCCGGTCACGAGCAAGACATCTACTCGCTCGACTTCGCCCGCGACGGTCGCACGATTGCATCTGGCAGTGGAGACAGAACCGTCCGTCTCTGGGATATCGAGCAGGGCACCAATACTCTCACCTTGACTATTGAGGACGGTGTTACCACTGTTGCCATCTCTCCCGATACCAAGTACGTCGCCGCTGGTTCTCTCGACAAGAGTGTCCGCGTTTGGGACATCCACCAGGGCTACCTGCTCGAGCGTCTAGAAGGTCCCGATGGCCACAAGGACAGTGTCTACAGTGTTGCCTTCTCTCCCAATGGCAGAGACCTCGTCAGTGGCAGTTTGGATAAGACGATTAAGATGTGGGAGCTTAGCACGCCTCGCGGCTTGCCTAACCCCGGACCCAAGGGCGGCCGTTGCGTCAAGACTTTCGAGGGTCACAGGGTAAGTGACTCGCCTACAAAGTTGATAATCCGACTGGCTAACACACTTAGGACTTTGTTCTCTCCGTCGCGCTCACTCCCGACGCCGCTTGGGTCATGTCTGGTTCCAAGGACCGTGGAGTGCAGTTCTGGGACCCCCGCACTGGCGCTACGCAGTTGATGCTCCAGGGGCATAAGAACTCGGTTATTTCAGTTGCGCCTAGCCCAACGGGCGGCTACTTCGCTACCGGCTCCGGTGACATGCGGGCGCGTATCTGGTCTTACCGAAGCGTCCAGTAGGAACCTGTCGCTCCGTTCTGGCCCGAATACATGTACCTGAGGTAAAGTTGATGTTTCTTGGCGAAGGCTTGTTTAGTGGCCAGACATGTATACCAAACAGCGGATGTCAAAGAGAAGAGGTTGGGTTGCTCTGTTACTAGGGAGGGTTTCGTTTGCGGTGGAACAGGTTGTCCCTGTCTATGTCTTGGAATATTCTCAAAGAGAGACGCATAGGCCGGTAGGGGGGGAGTACAGGCAGGGACACGTCGGAATCTCGTAGCAAATAGCCGTCGCTAATGAAAGATTTGAAGCTTTATATGACTCTTGTTTAGATCATGTGTTGTTTGGTGTTATTGGGGAATCTTTGTCATGTGAATGTCTACATGAGGGAACTGAATAAATCCCCAAAGTCGTCCGTCTTTTTTGACTTTTTCTTCTTCTTTACTAGCTTTTCCTCCTTTGCTGGCTTGCTAGCTTTGGTCTCGAGAGGAGGGCCAGCCGTCAACTTTCGCTTCTTTGGAGGGATGGAAGCTGTTAACTCAGCAACATTGCGTGATGATGATGATGATGATGATGATGATGATGATGCGTGATTGTGATCTGAAGGTTTCGCAGCTAGCTTGAGCTGGTCCCGAGAGATGGCCACGCCGAGACCCCTTGAATTGGGCTGTTGCTGTTGTCTCTCATCTGCTACGGCGACTGCTGCATCACTTCTGCCCGTCGACAACGAAGAGGTAGTAGTGACCTCGCTTGCTGGGGTGGCCTTTTCGGACCGAGGAGCAGGAGTAGGTGCAGGTGCAGGTGCCAGGAGCGTGACGACTGAGTTGATGCGTGCTAAGAGACCTAGGAGTACCAGGCCTAGGGCGGCGTGTTGGTTGTCTGCTGCTAGTTGTGTAAAGGCTCTGCCGTTTCCTTGGTGTCAATATCGGTTCGAGTATACTTCAAAATAGGGGGCATATCAAGTTTGCCCATGCCGTGATGAAAGGTGGAAGCTTACGAGAAGGACGACGGGATGGTGGAATCGAGCAGCATCCGCACCCTGGCGACGACGTCTTCATCCAGCGCATTTTGACGACGTTCGGCGCTGCTGACGATGGGTTTGCTGCTGCTGCTGCTGCTAGACTTTTTCTTCAACGAGGAGGAGGAGGAGGAGGAGGAGGAGGACTTGAAGCTGAGGGCGCGGCGGTGACGGCCCTGGGCTTCGAGGGCGTCGTGCAGGCGGCGGACGGCGCGGCGGAGGAGGTCAAAGGCGGACCACCAGCGGGCTACGCGGTGCTGGTTCTTGTTGCGGTGGTTGAAGCTGTCAAGGATGGCGAGGACGGGGACTAGGGTTGCGATTGGGATTGTTTCGTCTGGCGATGGTGCTATTGCTGCTGTCGCGGCGATTGTGTTGGTGGTGGTTGTCTTCATATTATGAGATGCGCTTTTCTTCTTCTTTTTGGCGCGCCAGCGATGTCTTTTGAGCACCTCAAGATGAAACCATCAAAGTCTAAACGAAATTCGAGATGTGAGGCGTGGAGGGGCTGCCGCCGGACGTGATGCGCGCGAGTCTAAAAGTTTGATAGTTATACAAAGTACCCTTGGTCGCAAACTTGTGGTGAAGCGAGAGTGAGAGGTGTGGAATTGTTTGCATGGTAAAGAAGAGGGACCGTGCACTGAGCTGGAAAAGAAGCAACGACGGACGACCGGATGTTGATCGATTTGGTTCGGATCGGAGCGCGGTTAGCCTCGAGTAACGTAGCGAAGGTTAATTCTAGCCTATACCGATCATTCATCATGAGAAAATATTTTCCCCTGTCACATTCTCCCTTTCCTTTGGGATATCTCTTCACTCTCTTCAGAGAGATATAGACAGAGTGTGTGCTTGAGCCGCATGCTACGTGGGACAAGACCTGCGGCTGGCGCAGTAGAGAGTCAGTCAAGGTACACTACCACATGTACTAGTCCCTAAAGACATCTACCTTGTAACGTAGGGCAAAGTCTCGAGCAACGGCGATCTTGTGAAGAGCGAGTGAACAAAGAAAAAGAGCAGAGTCTGTGCATCGCAAGTTCCTTCCGACCGAGGGTTACACGGTCTGGTTTGCGAGATCTTTCGGGGTAACGGACAAGTTGAGGGCATGTGAGCTGAGGCTCGAGCATCTGGGGTACTGCGGTAAACAAGAGAGGCTCGGCGGCAGATGACTACTTGCAAGGATTCTTACTTTGACTTTGGGAAAGTCTAGGTTGCGAAGTCTCCTACCGTACTAATCTAGCTACTTGGCGGGGTGGTGATGGCATCACTTGCATCTGAACCTCCATGCATGAACCTGTCTCAGGAAGGCATTTGGATGACATGTCATGTGGTCCTTTTTGGAGGAAAAGTATGCAAATAGCGGTGAGTAACAAGGTGGGATGCGGAGAGATCTGGGCGGGGGACTCGGCGGTTATCTTGAAGGGACGGATAGAGCCCATCAATATCCGAGGTTTTCAACCCGGCGGCCGCTGAGTGTCGAGTCACCTTGCTCTGCGAGTCTGAACGGATAGGTACTTGGGATATTGATAACTCTTCCTTAGCTAAGAAAAGGCCCGTCAGCCGTTTGATGACGAGTACCCACAATCGTCCCGCAAGTAGGCAAAGACATGCGGAGGCAGGGAAAAAAAAAAGAAAAGAAAAAAAAAGGAGACAGTGGCAGATGATGTCGAAAGACTTGCAGCACGACATTACGTACTGCAGACGTCTGGCACCTATTACCTACTTAGTACCGTGATGTGATGATTGATACCTTGGGACGGCACGGTTAAGAGAGGCGCAGAGACGAGAAGCAGGCTGGCCGGCGCAACAACCCGGGAGGGTCGAGGGGTTGTAGTTGGTGGAGAGGGCGGAGCCGGGGTTGGTTCGAGTTTGAAAGTTTGCAGGTTCTGGTCGCCGCAAAGGCCCTGCGGTGCCTGCAAATGCCCTGCAACAGGCCCTGCCACTTGCAGCAGACGTGCAGCGCGAGCGCCGTTCCATTCTTTATCATTGTCCAACCAGAGACGCCGACGCGATAAGCCGACCAACTTTTGACGATGCAGACGGCGTCATGAAAATCAAAGGTTGGACGTCCAGCTGACTTACTAAGAGTTGCTTCCAATTTTCATCCTTTCTTGCCCCTGCGTTTTCCCTGTTGCCCTCGTTGCCGGTTGATGCCTCACCCTCCCGTCAGGTCTGCGTCCGCTTCTCGGCAGAGGTACCCCTCTCGATCCTCTCCTTCTGCTCCCGCATCGAACCATCTCTTGACTGCTATTCGTCGTCGCAGGCTCGGGTTGCGTTCTCGGATTCCGTAATGCAAGTCATCTAATGACATATCTGCAGATATCGCCGGCGATAGCCCACCTGGACCCCATCCTACCTTACCTAAGAATTAGATAGTGACCTGTGTCAGTGTGTTTCCAAGATGCCAATGCCATAGGTAGCTAGCTACCTACACTAGATACCTAGTTGGGTACCTTGGAGGGGTCAAGCAACCGTTTACCTCTTCATCTGAACCATCTGGAAAAGTAAGAAGGAGGGGAAAAGAGGCAGAAAGAAGCATTGACTTTTTGTGACTTGGGGATCGTGGACGGTGGTGGTTCTACTGGATTAAGAGGCAGAGAAGTTCCCTCCTTGGCTTCCCAACATTTACAGCTCAACTTTGCCTTCGTCCTCCTTCCAGTTTTTTCTCCCTCTTTCCCTCTCGCGTACCTCCTTCCTTACTCGTGACCCATGGCATACTACGACCACCACATACATAGTGTACGCTAACTCCCATTCGACTTCCTCAACTCTTGGGTCATGATTTTTTGATTTTTTTGATTTTGATTCTCAAAACTTCTTCCTAACGCCACAACGTAACAATCAGTGATCACTGCCACCAACCGCCGTTATCTCTGTCGTTCCGCCCTCCTATCCACTTGGACGTGGAGACTGGAGCCAGACAGGAAAGAAAAAACCCAGTCGGACCTCAGCAGACACTTGCGACAAGACCCAACCTGGGCTTCCGACAACCCACTGCACTAGCAACCCATCTCATCTCCCGCTACGACTCCACTTGGAGCCGGCCTTAGTAGGGGTGCCTTGGTTTTGCTTCGCAGCCTTTGCTTGCTTTGGCTTGGGGTGCGTAAGAGGAAAAGGCACATTTGCCTTTTATCGATACACGGCCTTTTCGATACAAGCTGCTACTACTAAATCCCCTACGTACTCAGTAAGGTGCCGCGCTCACGCCGTGTGCTACTACTCCGTCCCGACCAGGTTTATATACCACCTCCAAGGCTCCAAACGCCCGCGCGAACAATAGCCCAGTCGCGACCGTCTACCCTGCCCAAGAGTCGACGACAGATTTTTTTCTTCCCTCTCCCTCCTCTTCACTCTCTTTTCCTCTCTTCCTGTCGCGACCCTGTTCTTGCATCCGAATCGTCGTTCTAACAGGAACGCCGTGGGAACGACTTGAACCAACCTTTGTTGTTGCTGGAAACCACGAGCTTTTCCTCATGCCCTCGAGAAACCCGTCCACTTGGGACGAATACGAACGGGGCGCCTCCCCACAGCGCTCCGTGAGTATCGACTCCAATGCCGTAGCTGAGGATCAGTCGCTCCTAGGAGAAGATGACGAGGGTGACTACGGCGGCAGTTCTCACGGACTTCGTCGCAGAAGGTTATTCTCTCTTACCCAGGCCGAGTAGCAAGTATTGACGTCAGCTTGCTGCCATTGTCTCGGACACTGCTACTCGGCGCATGATTGATGCCCTCAGTTCACCCCGCTAACCAACCCCTCCTACAGATCTTCAGTAACGCGGCACCTGGCCGCCATCACAGATATTGGCGGCGTCAACAGTATCCGCTCCTTCACGCGCAGTTGGGCGCGTGCCGCAGGCTTTGCCGAGGTCATTCCCCAACGGCCGTCCTTTGTTTTCGCGCCTGACCAGGTCCCGATTGCCTCGTCGTCCACCGATGGCCTCGACTACTCTCGCAGCCATGTCGAGTCCGGCTCCCACCCGAGGACCTCACTGCTGAGGCAGCATCTCGAGGCCACCCCCGAGGCGGCACCAAGCGCATCCTACCAGAATGACTCTTCCCCCTCTGGCGCGGACGAAAGCGCCGTGCAGACCGACTTCCGCGAGCGCGAGCGCAAGGCAGTCGAGGCAGAGCTGTCTGGGACCTTCCGCGGTTCCAGCTTTGGAAGCGGTCGCCGACCGTCGCAGTCCATCTTCGCGGTTCCGCCTCACCTGGCGACCCCGCCGCTGGTCGGGAGTTTCAGCTCGTACAGGACGTATGGAACAATAGCAGATGTCGACGAGCCGTCAATGGCCCAGGCCGGCGAGCTCTGGCGCCAACAGCAAGAGGCAGGGGGCAATGTGCCTGACGGAGAGAACATGCCCATTCTCGTGAAGGAGGTTGAACAAGACGGGAAGATTATCTTGACTGTGGAGGGACAGTCCACGCTACCCCAAACCATCTTCAACTCGATCAAGTGAGTAGCAGCCCTGTTTTGGCGCGCGTTGAAAGACAAGGCAAATCTAACCTGCAGCGCAGTGTCCTGATCGGCGTTGGTCTGTTGAGTTTGCCCATGGGTATCAAGTACGCGGGTTGGATTTGCGGCATGGTCGTCTTGGCAGGCTCTGCGGCCGTGACAGCATACACGGCCAAGCTTCTGGCCAAGTGCATGGATCTCGACGCCAGCCTCATCACGTTCTCCGACCTGGCCTATATCTCCTACGGTCGCAATGCGCGTATTGCCACCAGCATTCTCTTCACCCTCGAGTTGCTGGCTGCCTGCGTCGCTCTGATTGTCCTGTTTGCCGATTCTTTGACGCTATTGTTCCCGGGTTTCCTGAGCGTCAACACGTGGAAGCTCCTGTGTTCGATTATCATGATCCCCCTCAACTTCCTCCCGCTGCGCCTCTTGAGTTTCACCAGCGTCATTGGCATCGTGTGTTGTTTTAGCAGTAGGTTCTCCTTTCTTCCTCCGCGCCAAGCTCTAATTGCTAACACGTGAGGCCAGTCGTCTTGATTTTGGTGGTCGATGGACTCATCAAGCCCTCAACTCCGGGCTCTCTCATCGAGCCGGCCACGACCTACCTGTTCCCTGCGAACTGGGGCACACTACCCCTGAGTTTTGGCTTGTTGATGAGCCCGTGGGGTGGCCACAGTGTATTCCCCAACGTGAGTATTCATCCGTCTCAGTCAGTAAATACGGTATACTGACTTTCCAACAAGATTTATAGGGACATGCGTCATCCTCACAAGTACCCAAGGGCCGTCAAGACGGTCTTCACGTCTGTTGTAAGTAGCCGGAACATTCGTCCCGGCCCCTCTGCTCACTGCTGACCGTTGACAAGTACCTGCTTGACGCCTTCACGGCCGTTGTCGGCCTGTTGATGTACGGTGATGGTGTCATGGATGAGATCACGGCCAACGTCCTCCAGACGAGTGGTTACCCCCGTGCCCTCAACTTCTTGCTCTGCATCTTCATCGCCATCATTCCCCTGACCAAGATTCCGCTCAACGCTCGCCCCATTGTTGCCACATTGGAAGTTTTGACCGGTATCCACCAGCAAGCTGTTGCCGACAGCTCGGCCATGGTCGGACGCTCTGCCACCTTCCGCGGTATCATGAAGGTTGCCATCCGTGTCGTCACCGTCCTGGTGTTCCTTGTCATTTCCATCCTATTCCCAGCGTTCGATAGCATCATGGCTTTTATGGGAAGTGCCTTGTGCTTCACGATTTGTGTGCTGTAAGTTTGCCCCTATCCGTTGCCTGATGTTGGATGAGAAGACGAATCTGACCTAACCTCCAGTTTGCCTTTGGCTTTCTACGTAAAACTCTTCGCCAAGGAGATTTCCCCCCAAGAGAGACTGCTTTGCTACGTCTTGATGACCATTTCCACGATCCTCTCGGTCGTGGGTACAGTCTGGGCCTTCTTGCCCAAGAGCCTCATTGGTGCAGAGTAGGGGTGGTCAGTCACTGTTTTGCTATAGCTTCTGGCATAATTGGCGTCCTCGTGTTGCGATCGTTTGGCTATCATTGCACGGCGCTGGCGGCATCTGGTTTTGGTGCCTAGTGTGGAATAATGCTTGCGCGTGGCTAGCAAATTGCTGTAAATATGATGTGTCGATAGCATGTATTGATGAGCTACATGTCTCTTGTGACAATACACATATAAAACATCTTGTCAAGTTATATCGCTCATACACATACTCAACCACTACTTGATGGAAGGCTTCTGACTCCGAAATACGACCCTTGCCCTGCCAAGGACCATGATCCCTCAATCTGTTTTACACTCATTGCAATATGAGCACTAATCAAGAGACACGTTGATGAGTAGTGAACGAACTTGGAGGCCTGAGCTCGGCTCTACTATTACTGCCACAAGAGCCATGTAAATCATCAACCACACCGGTTCCTAAATCAGGGATACATCATGCTGAGTTACAGAAACCCTTTTGTAACAAAAAAAACCAAGGCCGGCGATCACGGTACCTGTCAAAGGCCCTCACAGCTCTCGTGAGATGAATAAGCTGAAGATGAAGAATGATTTCCCCAGGTACCAACCATCCCTTTTTCCATGGTGCACTCGCTATCGCTCGTGGTAAGAAGAAACCCTCTCTATTATAGAAACTTATAGTAGGCATCAAAATCCACACGGAAATTCATGGTTTCTGACAAAGACTGACGTTTTGTGCTCGTCCTTCGTGCACAGAGGGCAGCAGCAGGGTGGCTCTAAACCACAAAGGCATGCAAAACATAACGAGATACATCCTCCATTGTGTCTAGTCTTGTCTCTGTAACATGGGAGCTCTCACGGTGTGAGGATGCTCACTCATCCCGTCGCCGACGAAAGCAATATCAGTATCCCCTCTCCTACTGGGCACACACATGCTCCGTACACATTGTGTCTCTCACCACAAAACTCTCAGCCAATGGCAGCCACCTACAATAACAAGATTCAGAAGCCCCCCCTAGTAAACCTTAGCAACCCCGCTTTCCGAGGGTATCTCGTGAGGGAACTTGGAGAGAAACGTCATGTCATGTCTATCTCTTAGGTATCCAAAAGGCATTCCGTAATCAGCAGGATAAAGCAGATAACATGTCGAGTCAGTTTGAAAAGACACGATAGACAGATGGATAAGAAGGATCGGCAAAGCTGATAGATGGCTTGTGTCCCACATCTACAGATACGGGGTGTGTTGATGCTCGGTATGCAAATGGTCATGCACCCCGGGTTGTCCGATAAGTAACAGCAAAGGGGGGATAAAGAGTGGGAAGAATAAGCAAACACTACGGCTACGTGTCCAACAAGCAATGGGGTCGACAACACACGGCCATGACCGCCGACCATCAATATAACCAACCCCCTTCGTGCTGGGCTGCCGACGATAGATAGAGGGCTGGAGCAACTCAGGAGGGTGCTAAGCCAATTCCGGGGTTGCCGATCCTGTGGAGTGTGTGCTTCTTGTCTGTATAGTGTATACCGGGCCTTGTTATCTCTTGACTATCATGGGGTTGGTGATCACTCATGACTCGAGTCAAGTGAGGGGTAACATGACGCGCTATTCATTCACCAATTCGAAAGAAGGGCACTTACAAAGGTTCTCACGATGATCCAGGGGTTGGCAAGTGTTAGAAAACGTTTTAGTCTTCGAAAGGAAAATCATGTCACCAGTGAATGGGGAAGAAACGATGATATGAGTGGGTAACTTCTGGTATTGTTCATTAATCTGGAGATATCTAATACACAGAAAGCGAGTTGAGTTCCTTCATCCAAACAGGTGTTTTGTCTTGCCCAAGTAGAAACCTCACGACAGTCAAGTCGTGACTACTGCCACAACTAAAAAGTCAGTTGGAAGCGGCAATGCCCTGATGGTGATAACCCAACCACAAGAGGTGACCCGACTAGGAATGCGCTTCCTGCCAGCCACCAACCCACTCGACGTCTGCGAGATCGTTGCGCTTCTCCTTGCGCCAATAATTCCAATCTCTGCCCTTATTCCAGGGGCAGTCCTTGACCTTATCCTTCGGTGATTGTTTTTGTGTGATGTGATGTATCTGGTTGTTGTGGTGTCCGCCATGATCCCAAGCGGCGGTCGCAAACGAGTTGGCTCCAGCCGCATAGGAATTGTAGCCTAAGCCGATTGCTCGTTGTCGAGGAACGTCTGGTGACATGTGGGAATATGAAGACCCCGTCAGGCCACGGCGACGCTGACCCAGCGCAGCCCACTTGTCAACGTTGTCCCTCTTAGGAGGCGACGATTGATATGTGGGCAACATGGGCCTCGCCTTGGGCGGAGACGACTGTTGAAAGAAAAATCCGTCGGCAGCGAGGTCGCTGTCAATGTCGTTGTGGATCAGCTTGTGGCTGTCATGGAAGGAGCGTTGAGGTGTGGTCGCAAGGGGGGTAGCGTCCACCGTCTCGCAGTCATCTTCCTTGTCGTCCGACTTGCCATCCTGGCTCCAGGTCCTTGAGTTGAGATCCTTGAGAGACTGCATTTCTCTCTCACGCTCAGCCTCCTCTTCTTCCTCATCCTCATCCCACATGTCGCTCCAGCTCTTGGAGACGGCGTCCTTACGGCCGAAGACCAAGGACATGGAAGACAGGTTGCTGCGAGGCTTGGCCATGTTGATGGGGAGGGAGCCGGCCATGGGCGAAACCTTGGGGATTGGCCGGGGAGCAGCCTTCATGGGTCGGCCAATGTGAAGAGACTGCATGGAAATGCCGAGGCTCGAGTTGAGTGTTGACGAAATCGAAGGTGCCTGAGCAGAGCTGAACCAGTCCGAGTTCTGGGTCTCACCAGACTTGGAGAAGAGGTCCTCGTCGGGGATGGCGCTGAGCTGGCGAATCGGCTGAGGGCTGGCGTGCAAGGCCTTGGCCCAGGGGAACGCGCCCTGGTCGACCTGGGGGCTCTGGATGGACGGGGTGCGAAGAGGCTCGCGGTTGGCGCTCGCCATGACATGGCGCTCAGCGGAGCAGAAGTCGTCGTCGTCCTCCTCGGTGGTGGTAAAGCTGATGACACGCTGGAGAGCAGAACGAGCACCGACAAGAGATCTCTTCTTAGGATCCAAGCTCATGCACTGAACAATGACCTCATAGGTATCCAGCGACATGGAGGGGAATACGTCGAAGAGCGATTGCTTGTCTCTGGAGAAATCCAAGAACAGCGGATCCGCCTCGGTCGGGGTGGTGAAAGGGTTCCGCGAGAAAAGGATGTTGAGGAGGCAGATACCAATGGCCCAGATGTCGGCCTGGGCAGGAGAGTAACCGGCACCCGCAGAGTCGTATTGCTCAGGGGACATGTAACGGTCGCTGCCGACAGTGTTCTCCAAGGTCCAGTTCTCGGTTGTAGCGAGGCCAAAGTCGCCAAGCTTCATGTCACCAGACTGGGTGAGGAAGATGTTCTCCGGCTTGATGTCCCGGTGGAAGATGCCCTTGGAGTGGATGTAGTCGACGGCATCCACGAGCTGCAGCATGAACTGTCGGACATGCTCGGTCTCGAGAGGGCCGTGGCCCTTGCGGATAGCTTCGTACAAGTCACCCTGGGGGCAGAACTCCAGAACCAAGTAGAGGTGAGCATCGGTTTCGAAGCTGTCGAGAAGGTTGACGATGTTGGGGTGGGATCCAAGGCGGCTGTGAAGAACGAGCTCCTCGGATTTCTCGTCAATGGCAAAGTCGAAACCGTACTCATCGGCAGCTTCCTTCTTAGTCAAGCATTTGATGGCAACAGTATCGCTGGTCTTGATGTCCTTGGCCATGAAGACCATGCCAAAGGAGCCGTGGTTGAGGGGAGAGATGGTCTCATACCGACCACCGAGGAGCACGCCATTCTGAAAGTTGTCTCTCAAGCATGCCATATCGAAACTGGAAAAGAAGTATTGGAGCACGGGGGGGGGGGGGTATCGAACTGAGAAACGACGAGGTAGCGGCGAAGGTGATGTTACAGCCTTAAAGCAAGCTTTTCTTCAAGTTCGAGGTTTCTTCGTTGCAGAGGAAGGAGTATTCGAGTGGTTGCTGGATCGAGAAGGATGGGTGTAAAATGGAGTTGGGTTCGTGTCGTTTGTTGTTGTTGTTGTTGTTGTTGTTGTAGATCGAGAAGGAGGTGGGTTTGGGTGTTACCAAGAATGTACAGGGTTGAAAGAACAAATCTAGCAGGAAACAAGACGAATTTCTAACTCCTTTTCGTTCACTTATCAGAGGCTCATTGAGGGTATTTTTTTGCTGTAGACGGACATATGAAAGCGAGAGTCTGTTGTTGTTGGTTGGTTGGTTGGCTGGCCGTAATGGGGTTGGACGATGTGGTCCGGAAAAAGACAAAGAAGTATCGTTATGAGGACATTGAAATAGAGCAAGCTTGCTGGAAAAAGTGTAGAGAATGGCGCCCGAAGGTCGAAGACGGGGTTTGCGAGGTAAACTTTGGATAGTTGATTCGCAAGAGAAATGAAGGCGTCGATTCCTAGCTAGAGGATTCGGACTGTGTTTCGAGGTGGCACCCCAACTGCTTATGCGGTTGATCGTTGGTTTGCTGGCTCAAGTAGGCACAAAGGCCGGGTGACGTGATAGTCGATGGCCGAGGGTAGATGTCGTTGGAAGTGTGAATTGCAACGGCTTGCAAGCAAGCTGACTACCGAGATCGGCGAGAGTAGTGGCTACGGAAGCATTCGAGCGTTGAGGAGTGTGGAACAACGAATCGACAGACGAGGATCGTTGGTGAGTCGGTCGATGGGAGGTGGTAGCTCTTATCTCGAAGGATGAGTGAGGTGTCGTTGCTTAAAGCATGGACGGATGTTGAGTGACAAAGGCGAGGGCCGAAGTGAGTCAAAGGACACGAGGTGTGAGTCAATGTTCAATGACAGCAAATTGCCGAGGCTGGTGGAGTTTGTAGGGAATTGTGTTTCCTGAGGCCTCTCTTATCCTATCTCTGTCGATGGGTTGACGGATTGATATACTGTTCAACTCGAAGGCAGAGGGTGATAGGAGATTGCGTGATTGCTTGCAGTATGGCTCGCGGGTGGGCACGCGGGAGCTGGCGTTGCGAGTATCGGTGGATTTGTTGATGGGCGAGTAGATGATAAGGAGGTCGGAGCGAAAGGTGGTGGTAAGGGAGGAGGTTGAGGCGGGGGAGAGGAGGCTAACAAGCAAGGAGGAAGAGAGGCCGTTGACGACGATGATTGAAGGATGGTAGAGTGAGGAAACAAACAAGAGAAGGGGCGAGGATGATGAAGGGGGAGTATTAGGGTAAAGTAGGTAAGTGCAGGCAGAGGCAGAGAGGACGGTACGGTAAGGTAGGTTGGACGAAGCAAATGGGTGGTGGTGGGTAGGCTGGTGCAGGACAGGGAATACAAGGTGAGAGAAAGAGAGGTGTGGAAGTGAGTGAAGAGAGTGTGTGAGCAAAAGACGGCCAAAGAAGAAGATGGAGGTGGATGGACGAGGAAGGATTGGCTTGGATAAGACGGGATGGGAGAGAGAGAGCGACAAGAGAGCGAGGAACACCAGGACTGAGGAGCGAGATAGGCAGACAGGGGGTGGAAAGGCGAGCGCGGGAGTACGTACCGGAGGGACTGCGTATTGCGACAGCCCCGGGACGGTGAGGTGCGAGTACCTTTACGGCGATACGTACCGAGAAGACGGGGGCCCAGAACTGAGAAAACTGAGGTGGAGACGGGAGTCTAGGTAGGTACCTTACCTTCTGCGGAGCAGAGAGAGAGAGAGAGAGAGAGAGAGAGAGAGAGAGAGAGAGAGAGAGAGGTACCTGGATAGGCTCCTTACCTGAGCATGCTGTGAGGTAGCATCCTTGGGAAAGGGTGACGAACGGTCGAGAAAGCGGTGGGGGAGAGAGAGTACGTATCCTTTGCACTCACGGGGCTGGCACCTGGCACAGGCACTGGGCAAGTCTGGGACAAGTCAACAGGAAGCATGGCGCGCTACGTGGAATGATGGGGGGAGGGGAGTGGGACGACCGGAACGCACGCTTGACCAACTTGCAGACAGCAATTCAAAGCAGGATTGCTTGTCTGAGGTCTCTCTCTCTCCCAATCCTCGCCAATCCCCAGCACCAGACAACTGTCTCCTGCATATTATCCGTATGTATACCCAGCTACCCAGCAATAGCATGCACTACCCTATGCTATCCTGATCCTCCTGCAGGACACGACTGGGCTTTCTTTCTCGCTGGGCTGGCAACGAGACGCGATGCAACGCAACGCAACCCAGCCATGCCCGAAAGACTCCAGTCAGCCAGACCGACAGACCGACACTTCGATTGCTCGCTCTGCCGTCTGTTCAGATCTCAGCCCCCCCCCCCCCTTCGCTCGCTCTGTTGCTTCCCCAGACACGCGACAACCTACCTCAGACATAGACAGCAGTCAGGTGTGTGAACTGTGGAGGAGGGGGGGGGGGGGCCAGCTCTCTCTCTCCATGCCTATGCAGCAGAGAACAGACGAAAGAGATGGCCAGTGAGTGAAAGGCCGGATCAGCCCAGAAGCCCCACTTGCTGTCTCTGAATGGCCTGTTCTGATGTTTGTGTCTTCTCTCGAGGCGCATGTAGACATTGTAGACTACTTTGGTGTCCGTTTACGACTCCGTTAACCAACTCCACGCTTGGAGGTCCAGACCTCGGACGGTGAAGGCTAAGGGTGTGAAGACTGTGACACTGTGCCGTCAGCGGTGTCATAACGGGTTCACGGTGCCCAGTGTTGGCTGAGTCTGACGCACTGACGAGCCTCGAGGTCAACTTGGAAAGTCAACCATGTGCCTTGGTCAACCTAGTGCAAATAGTTGGTGTGAGCTAGGTACCGAACGGGGTACCTCATCAACTTACCCAAGCACACAAGCACAGAGGAGCACATCTGTCTGCATCACTCAGCGGCCAGGCCAGGTGTAGTACCAGACCAGCTGACTATTGACATAACCCACGGTGGATAACCAACGGGTCCCGGCACGGCGATTCTCGCCCAACTTGTACCCGTCCGCCCCGTCTTGAGAGCCCATTTCATCATCTCTCCGGCCCCGTAACTTGCTGGAACTGGGAGCTGCCAGCGAGGAGGCAAGAGTCATACCTCTCGGGGTCCTCTCCAGAGTCCACTGGAAAAAAGGAGAGGGCAAAGAGGTAACTCCATGCCCGCTCCGGCGAATGGTAGACGGGGCTTTGTGCTGTTTACTCATCGTCGACGCGGACGATTCAACGGGACCGCTTTGATTGATAAAACTTGATTGCTCATAACGGAGTACACGGCACCAAAACCGTCCGCTGTGACTTCCATTGGCTTCGATGGATGGCGAATTCAAGACGAAAGCAGTGACCAAAATACGCAATCTCTGGGTAGCCGGTGATACCACTGTGTTGATACGTAAGACGAGAATGCGTTGCCGCTATGTATGTAGTTGTTGTGTAGATTGGCCGACGCAACCAAGTAGACACGGGGTCGGAGCCGAATAACTTTGTTAATCAACATAAACATCAACAATACGGCCGCCGCAACAATAACAACCTACGAAGAACGCTGAAGTGAGGGGTGCCTGCAAAGCAATTAAACTCGTGCAGCAGCGTAACTATGACGAAGCCCGGTAGCGAGGTACGCTTCGGAGGGGGCCGTTGGTGCGGGAGATGGCAGGTAATTTCAGCAGGATCAGATGTATCTCGCAAACCCAAGATCAGGGGGGATGGGAGATTGACCGGCGGGACAGTGCGACTGACAAGGGCCTCTCGGAAACTTGGTTCGAGATGTGGGAAGTTTCCTTGAGACAGCGGGCGAACCCCTGCGAAATGCATGAATCCGCGAATGGCTGGCAGGCTATTAGACCGGGGGGGGGGGGGGGGGACGTTCGCAAACTCGCTGGCGATGAAGGTCCAAGGTGTGATGTGCGAAGTGGCTGCAAGGGACCGTCTGGGGTTGAACACTCGAAGTCTCGAACTATGTTCCCCTCTCTGGATGTTCTCATTAGCTCTATCGCTCTGCGGCTTCGTACAACATTGATGATTGGCATGACAAGACCTCAACGACAGCATTGCGTGCGAGTGATGATATTTTGTCACAGAGTGGTACTCTCTTGTGGACTGTCACGGAAGTAGATGTACAAATGAGGAAGACAGAGAGCCTAGAAAGGAGAGACGTACGGATACAATCTCAATAGATGGCAGCGAGAAGCCAAGGTATTGCGAATACCTGGGTAGGAACGTGCTCCAACGTTTATCCATATACGGTAGATCAATGTTGGACGGTGGACGGTGGACGGTGGACGGTCGTGGACGGTAAGCATGCATCGACGGAGAGCCTACCGTCCCGTGGGCGCGACGCCATGAAGTAAGCCCAGGCAAGTAAGTTAGGTAGGTATCCGTACCGCGACTCCGTACAGAGCACCCGCGCCAAAATTCAGCGTATCGCATGGCTGTCGTCAATGCACTGCCGGCTACGTACCTGACAGCCACCACGGGCATAGCCAACCATTGCCAACCGTCCTTGGAAAGCAGGATCCACTTGGATGCGTCTCTAGTCGCCACACCGCCCTGGGGGGGTACTTGGTTGTCAAGTACAGCTCACGCAGCGTCTGGGCGTCGACAGCTCCAACCTCGACATGACTGCCGCGTACTGCGAAGCAGCGAAATGCATGCAGGCTGCCAGCGCCAGGAAAAAGCCAAGCCATGCTGCCATGCTCATTGTGTTTCTTTTCTGCTACGGCAGCCGCCGCCAGCCAGTCAGGCCCGTCGACAATCCGGGGTGCCAGGCCAAGCCCCCAGGGCCTCCCTCCCGTTGAGACGGGCTCCAAATCGCCTGCCGCCTGCAGCATCGACGGACAGACACAGTGTAGGGCGGTCGCAGCGGGAAGCGCGCAACCTTCTTGCACAATGAGTGAGAGAGACAGAGGGCGATCGACGGGGTCCAGACGGCCTTAGACCCAAAACTAACAACTCATAGTGCCAGCAAACCATCGCAAGGCCCTCATTCGCTCCTGGCGCCAACACAAGTCTCGCCTGTCTGCCAGGTACACGGGTACCAGCAGCGCTGGCCAGCCGCCGGAGAACTCTGGGCCTCATTGAGTTGAGCCTGCATTTACGTATCCCGTCCGGATACTTTGTACGAATACAACATAAACAAACTGCCGAGGGCGTTTCCTTTGGTCAGTGGACGCGGTGCCGGAATGAGCCACTATGTGAATATCGTCCAGGGGGAAAAGAGGCCCTTTCTTCAAATGTTATGTCACGCTCCCCAGTGGACTTTATTGATCGTGAACTCGTCGTTCTGGTTAGGTAAGGTCGCCTTATCCGTCCCTGGAATTCGGAAGACCCCGTGACTGCTTAAGCATCCACGCCCCACGACCACGGCTATTCCTATTGGGTGTCTTGTTACATAAGCTATCCATGCTGGTTCGCAGATCTGGATATCTCAACTGAATGGACGTGCCTGTTATGGCTTAGCTTCCAAAGATAGAGTGGCAACGCAACGGGTCCCCCGATTTCCCTTTACGCAGTATGCTCGCCGGCTCGGAAAGAATGTGGGATCCAGTATTCTCGGAAAACGTGGACCTGGATCATGGCTGAAGAATATCGTTATTTGGTCATTTGGCCGTGGACCGAGATTGGAGTGCATTGCCGCGGTACAGGCCACGTCCACCTTCCCCCAGGTCCCCTGAACAAGAATAGTAGCAGGTTTGCAACTCGTCACGTCAGTTGCCCAGTCCTATGACTCCCGTCCCAACAAAAGTCTTGTGGATATGTCAGAGTAAAGAGGAGTCAGGACAGTTGTTCAACTCTCATTGCCAGACTATCAATGCCATTGCTTGCTCTTGCCTCCTTCTCATTACAGCAGAGGCGACGTGGAGAGTTTCTTAGCGACTTGGAGTTGGGGCTGACAGTTCGAGACTCTTGAGAACGTAAAGAGGCAGAGTCAATAATAACCGAACACTGCCTAATACTTTGCAGCTAAGAAGATTACGGATACTGACCAACCGTTTCCCCAACGGTCTTGAACCCCTCCGTTACCTACAGTACCTACCTATGTACTAGGTATCCAGAATGGCAGAGACGGGGCACAGACAGTCAGCACGCCAGCCGACAACGCCAGCTGTTTACTTGCTACAATCTCTCGACTGGATTCCTTGGGGTTCTGTTTCACTTGCTTACTTGCCTTGGTCTCATTGGTCGTATGACACTGCACTCCTTTCGACCTGCAGATGGGACAGAAGTATAATCGCGCCCGCTCGACATCAATCTATCGCGTCGCGGACCTGTTCAAAGTATCCTTACTGTCAATCCCGTCCCGTATCTTGTTCGTACAACGCAGCGTTCTCTGTTATCAGGCCGCCCCTCTGGAAGTCTGAACTCTCTCATCCATGCTTGGAGGGGAGGGAAAGGGAAATGCTCACGGACGGTCACGAGTGTTCCCCAGAGTTTCCCACGAACTTGGGGGGTCCCCAAGCGCCGCCGGCCCTGTGCCACGAATCCTTCTCCATCGACTTTCCAGAACAAGAAAACGGGCTTTCATGGGTCTCTTCCCAATTGGGGTCTAACCTCCCTCCTCCTCCTCCATTGAAGGGTCCCAATCTCAGTGCTCTCTCTCCTCTCTGTTACAAGTTACCCCAGAATGATTATCTCAAATGACCCGTGGGCCGTTGATACGAGTGGGACACTGCGCCTGCGGAGAGCTTTATCTTGCATTATCGTAGATGAGGTAGCTATCTTTCACGGTTCCTCCTTCCGGTTCACTCCTAATCTTTGGCCGTAAGCAAACGAACCGATCTGCATTCTATACTATGTACAATTGCCCATTCAAAGTGTCCTTAATTACAGCTTCGCAACATGGCGACATTGGAAACCTTGAACCCGCCCACCCCCTTGCTTCGTATCGACAATCTGGCCCAGTCCGAGGTCTGGGGAAGGGCTCTAACGTCAAACCTTCGTCCGATCATTGAACGCTGATGTAACCCCCCAGTGCTCCCTCAAGGCCACCTCACCTCGAAAGCTGCCCCCCCCCCCCCAGAGAGGCCTTTACACTGCTCACAGGCTCAGATCTGATGCTTCTGCTATGTGTACTTAGCGCCCGTGACGCTGAGCCATGGCTGATGCCGATCACGGCCGCTCCTTGAGAGTGTTTCAGAGGTTGGCGCTCTTCGTCATCCCCCATTGAACCCAAATTGGTTCTTACGAAAGGTTCGTGGGATGCGTGGTCCGCTAGCTTCCCTTCATCTCAGTTTACCATGTGCACCTCGGGAAAGTGAAAAAGTGTACAATCCAATCTAGTATGTGTGTGCCATCCAGACGACGTAATAATCGCGGAGTTCGCCAACTTGACTCCTGTCGTGTGGAAGCGCATCCCTGGCATAGCTCGATGGTTCGGCAGGCCGGGTTGACGATGATGAAGGTATGGAGAATCAGATACAGGCATCAGTCATAACATGAGTGTAACCATAACCTCCTTTTCCCATCGAACGGGAAAAGGGGGGGGGGGGGGCCGCAGTCGGCGTTCGACTACTTCTCACGAGTCACCACGTCTTTCCACATCCCCGGTGTCACTCCGTTCCCCAACGACTTGGTCGTGTGACCGGGCAATAGTGGTCTCACTGCTGAATGAATGACCCTGAAGAAATATCCCCCGCCACCGTGAATCGATCCCCACTCCTCACGAAAGAGTCAGAGACGTAGGAACATACGAAAGCCTCAATGCCGCAGCACGCTCATTACTGCGGGCAATGGGGGGCTTGTAAAGTGCCAGTCAAGATCCAGTAGTAGGCGGTGCAGGCATCGACTGATAGAAACAAATCAGAACTCTCAATAACAGCTGATTACAATGTCTCGCTTCAACGTTGTCTCGTCTTGCCGCCCTATCTGGGTGGTAGGTACATGGGCCAAATGGCCATGTACTACACCAAACTGACTTCGCTTAGGCGACAGAATGTCTTGTAAAGCAAAAGCATGCCACGATACTACCCCACCACCACCATCACCAACCAACCAACCAACCAAGCGACCCCTTCTGGATGAGTAGAGCGTTTTGCAGGTGTTTTGCTTTTTTGCGGCTGGCAGAAAACAGTAACTTCGTTGTGACTTGTTGGCGAATAAAACTGACCATTGTGACTGGTCAGCCGCAATACGAAAAGGGAGAAGGGTGTGTTGGACACGGAACAGGCGGGCGAGCGCAACGGATCGTCGCCGACGTCCAAGATAACCCCGCCGCCGCGAGCGGCGAGCTTCACGGGAATGAACACCGGGTATCCGTACGTTTCACTGTGTAGTCGGGATGTGATGGAAGCACGCGGTGGCTTCTGTCAACAATGCTCGCAATGAAGTGACTCTCACTGAGATCATCAGACGTGTCCTAAAGTTACTTCCCAGGTAGATTGAGTTGTCTGATATCCAAGTTCCTAGGTACCTCGATTTCAACCACCGTATCTGACTCTTCCACCAGCTCCGTAATACGTTGATGTTTCGCCCCGTCACTCATACCGCTCCATCAACCTCACCGTCACCGGCTCCAAATCTCTGTCTAGGCTCGTGAGACGATGTGTCAAGCGGCGGCGGCGGCGAAAGCACATGTGGCCAGCAGGAAAAAGGAAAAAGAAAAAAAAAAGTTTGTTGACCTCGCCCTCAGTTGCGTGTTGCGGAGGCGAGAATCGGACCAGAGCCAGGGTCCGTGATGCCGCCGCGCGCGTTCATCGAGACTCGAGAGACTGCTCATTCTTTTCTTGGCCACGCGGTCCGAAAGTCTTCACCGTCTCTCTCTCTCTCCGTCCTCGCTCTTTCGTGACTTTCTTCATTTCTCGCGGTGTAACTAGATCCCACGAAAGCAGGCCGTGCGCCGCGCTTTCTTCCATCAAGCTTCCAGGTTTTCCCATTGATTCACACCGTTGGGACTCTAGCACGAGGACGTGCTAGCGCACGACAGCAAACGCATTTCCGACCCTCAGACTGTTAGGCCAGTCAAGGCAGAGTTGAATCCACAATAGCCAGTAGGCAAGAAGAAGGCGTGACGTATCGAGATATTGAGTATTACATCTTGCGTCCGTTCGGCATTGGGCGAGATTCACGCCGTTCGCACCCGTCTGCTCGGTCGTGATCCGCCGCTTGTCCATTGGCATATACCAAACACCAATGGTCCGCTCATCACCATCATATGCCAGCGAGACACGTTGCTTGTTGGGGCGGGACCCCTCCGAAGCTCGAGCTCTATCGACCGAGGAGAGAGAGCATCAGAACGGCCTGGCGCAATTGGCGGGTAGTCTGGCTCAACTGCCACACTTTTCGAATGCGGACAGGAGCATCTCTAGGTCGAGCTACTTCGTGCAGATTAGGTGCTTAGAAACAAAGGGGTCCAAATGTCGTGTGGCTTGTCATTCAACGCCAATCCATGGACCCTTGCTGTCGCCGTGGCCGTTTCCATTCCAAGTCCGTTTTGGCAATGTTTGTTTGCATTGTGGTTGGCATCCCGATTTCCCATGCCTCTTGCGGCATTCTGGCGTTGGTATTCGTAAAGTAGGGAGATTGTCGTACCACGAGATCACAAATGTGACAAGGATTGATATCGCAGAGAGGCACGATTGGATGGAAGCACAGCAACGATGAGACTGCACGAAAAGGGCACGGCATGTGTGTCGGAGGTCTCATCGGCAGGGGGGGGGGCCGAACGGATTAGGAAAAAAGAAAAGAAACTATCAGCCACTTCAGAACTTCAGCCCAATAGCCTTGTTAACCGCAGCGCTTGTATCTGTCCTCTCACCTCTTAGAGTGTCAACCTGTCAAGAGCTCTCTAACGTCCAATCAAGCCAAGAGATAGCTCCAGTCTCCAGCACATTCAGGACCTTTCTGGCGTGCTCGTTGTGGTTCTAGACTCCCGTTCTTTAGATCTCGGGCAGGTATGGGGTTTCTCGATACCCATAATCAGCCTAACCAAGTTGCCAAATCCTAGGCTTCTCGGCCGGCGACCTGAACCAGGCGTCCGTTGAAAGGACTCGGGGACAAGGCCGGTGTGCTCCACGCAAGGTACCCGAGCGCATCGTCGTCCTTGGGTCCGTCGACGCCCGTACGAGGACCGGACGACGACCTTCTCTACGCTTCTCTCGAGTTCACCGGTGACCTGTCAAATTCTCACGATGGAGGGAACCAGACCGCCTGATGCGTGACGGACTCGCGACCAGCTTCCCGCCGGCTCCCCCCTTTCCGGCCCCCCGAGTCCACCGGCCGGCCGCAAAATGTCCCATCCACCTACCTACTCGCTACATGAAGCCTTGGGAGAAGAGCCACTCTGCCACTGTCGTCGGCTGGTCCGCGGACGACGGACTCGTTCCAGCCGCTGCGGCTTGATATCGCCCCCAATTGAATCCTCCCTCTCCAGTCCTCACCGCTGCTTCAGTGTTAGTCCTGGTCATGCAATCGATGTTTTAACAGTCTGCTGCTATTGGGCCATGTCACCGGCTGCTACCATGGCACGCCTGGGTTGGTGTAGCTCTCTGCGACCTTATTCGCCATCTCCACTCACACACACCTTTGCGGCGTTGCGCAACCCATCTCTCTCTCTCTCTCTCTCTTACACAATCACACACACAAGGCACACCTCGCACCAACTCTCACCTGCACCGGGCATCCACACGGCAAGTCTGCAGCTCTGCAACCGCGTTTTCCCGTTCCGGCCCTACTCGACTTCCGGACGCTGGCTTGACCGCCTTCTTCTAATCTCCCGCCGTCACAACCTTCATGCATGAACTAGCTAGCGCCAGCCAACCTGTCTCCGTTGAAATGCGGAAGCTTGAATTGGGAGAGTAAACAGTTCTTCGAAACGCCGCTGAAGGATTTCACAATCTAGAAGCGAGAAAGACAATCGCAAAGAAAGAGAAGAAAAAAAAAAAGTCTGATCGCGCGTCGCGCCTCCGAGTCTTACCGTCTCGACGTGTCACCTCGGGAATTAATTTTTTTTTCCTTCCTGCTGCCTCACCTTGTCACGACAACGCACAATACCAAGTTACCAAGTTTTCTCTCTCTACAGACAGCTCACACAATGGCCCACAACCTCGGCGCTATTAGTGTCGTATTGCTCGATATCGGTGAGCGCCTTTCTTACCTGAAGCCGAACTCACCGCATCCAGAATAATCTCGTTGCATTCATTGGTGGACTCAAGTCTCGATAACATTGCCCATGCTGATTCGAGATTTTCCAAACATGCAGAAGGAACCGTTTGTCCCATATCCTTCGTCAAAGATGTGCTGGTACGTCGTCTCACCCCAACCACCCACCCCCTGGTTCATCGGGTAATTTGCGGCCCCCTCCGGATGACTCTCTTGAATTCTCCTCCGATGGCACGGAGGTGGTATCTGTCATTCCGAGCCGGGCAACCGTGCGCATGCTCCCGCGGCGGCACAGTTCCGCCGCTGTCAATCCCGTGCTGATGTCTCGGTTTCCAGTACCCGTATGCCGTCGATGCCCTTCCGGCAGCCCTAGACAAGCAATGGGACAATCCCGAATTCGCAGTCTACCGTAATGCATTCCCTGAGGACTGCGTGTCTGATCGATCAGTCTTCGAGGCGCACTTCCGCGACCTCGTCAAACGCGATGTCAAGGCCTCGTACCTCAAGGCCCTCCAGGGCTACCTCTGGAAAGAGGGCTACAAGTCGGGTGAAATCAAGGCGCCTCTCTTTCCGGATGTCGCTGAACGTCTTTTGTCCTGGAAAGACGCCGGCCTACGCCTCGTCATCTACTCCTCTGGCTCTGTTCCCGCCCAGAAGCTCTTCTTTGGCTACACAGATGCTCAGCCGGCGGACTTGACGCCCCTCATCTCGGGCTGGTTCGACACGGTCAACGCCGGCCTCAAGACTGAGCCCGGCAGTTATGCCTCCATCCTGTCAAACTTCGCCGACACCAAGCCTGAGGAATGGCTCTTCCTCAGTGACAACCCCAACGAAGTCACAGCCGCAATCAAGGCCGGAATGCAGAGCATTCCCGTCGTCCGCCCCGGCAACGCACCACTCCCGGACGACCTGAGCCCAACGTTGCAGCCGATCAGAGACTTCAACGAACTCAAGGGCCTTGGATCAAAACACTGATACGCGACTAATTTGACTTGCGGGGTACCCGACGACGAATGTTCCTCCTAGACTTTTGGTAGCGCTATTGGAGACAAACCGGCATGGAAACGCCTCGAATACAGTCTGCATCCGGTGAACACCATCTTCAGCTTTCCCATCTCCGTCGACTGCACAATTCCACATCTCTTGTCCCGTCCATCCTATCCCTTACTCTTCAAGCCAAGTCTGTTCTAGATGCCAGTCGCCCATTCCTCGGCTTCAGGCACGTGGGATCTCATACCTAGCTTTACCCGCAACAGCTAGTACGAGACCGTAAACGAGATGGCCATCTTGTGAGAAACAGGCAGGTCGAAGCTGTATCAACTGGAGCTCGAGACCTTGACGCCCCATCCAAACGCCAGAGGTTCCGCAGCAGCCGACAAAGTCCATGTTTTGTCTCGCATGAATTGCCGATTGATCCAGATGTAGAACATGGACTCGTCCGTCCCGTGGAAGGCAGGTGAAAGCAGCCGTGGCGGCCTGTCGCTTGCAACGGGCGCTTGCCAAATGCCCGGACGGCGGGGTTTATCGTGGACTCGTCGTGCCGACGACATTCGTCCCACAACACGGGTCATCGTTGGCTTATTGGAAACGTGACTTCTTCGAGGCGTCCAAACGGAAGCGAGGATATGGACGATCGCCTGTCGATCGCTGTGAGGGGAGAACGCTTGGAACTTACACCACCTCAAGGCCCGCCTCGGCGTCTGATCGTCCAGGATTGCCCCCAAAAAGGCAGCCAGAATCGTGATTGGGGCCCGTCTTTGATCACAATGACAATGGCGACGTCCTGCTTTCAACGCACTTGATGATCTGCCAGCCGGCTCCTTAGACCAAAGAAATGGTTCAATCTGGTGGCACGCAATCATGGACCCTTCAGTGTGATTGTGAAGTTGTTACGATTCAGACCCGGGTTGAGCTCCTTCTTGGCAAATGCGGGCAGCGGTTTGCTTGGAGCATTCGCTCTCTTCCAGAATGAGTAGACAAGCTTGTTCGTGACCTTTCCCTCAAGTTGGACATATCCCAAGGACGTCATGATCTCGACCAACCGATCCCGAGAGAAATACCGCGAGTTGTCAACACAGCTTCGGGGGAGGACCAAGAATAGTGAGGGAAACAGGGCGCGAGTAGCATCCGATAGATCGTCTCCGGGCTGACGGAGAAATGAAAGCGTGCGGAGAAGCATCTCACCGCGGAGAGAGTGGTCAGGAACGTAATTGACCACCAGGCTGAGTGAGATGATGTCAAACCGATCCGAGTCGTCCATTGGCAAGGGTCGCTCCATGAAGTCCTGCTGAACGATGCCCGCTCGTTGGCTGTTGAGGTCGATGAGAGTCATATCGAAGAAGCCGCTCTTGGAGCAAGCGTTATCGGTACTGAGAGCGCCCACCTCGAGCATTCGCAATCGGCGATGCGCAGCGCCCTCGCCCTTCCCCTCATCTCGAGTGCTCTTGGACTTCAGGGGCTGGAGATCGGCTGATCGCAACCAGTCCAGGAGAACTCTTGAGCTGTCCCCGCCTCGATCTACTCGTTGGCCTTGGAGACTGGCTCGTTGGTACTCCTCGAGCCCGCCGAGGGCAGAAATTTCGGCTGCAACCGCAGCTGCCTCTTTCTCATCATTTCGGGCCAATGCTTGTTGGCGCTTCTTCTGCAGTGTGTGGTGAGTATTGATAAGCGTTCGCGTCTCCTTGCGAGATATTGACTTTGCTTTCTTGATAGTGGGAGGGCGGCCTCTCGATAACAGCTTGTTGGCGGGCTTGGTCCTTCCCATGTTTCCGACGCTTGTTTTGGAGGAAAGAGGGAGACCAAAATGAGAATCAGGTAGACTTGGGGGTTGCGCTTCCAAGTCGCGCACTTCGAATGAGTTTTGAGAATACTCAATGAAGTCAATATCAAAGTCGACTTTGCAAGTGCTATGGATTTTTTTTCTTCCCCTGCTCAATGAGTGTAAGTCGAGCCTTACATAAGCAGCCTGTTTCCATTTGGTAAGTGCCAGGTTGAGTTAGGCTAGCTTGTCAGCACCGGCGGAATGATTTTCCTCTTCACCTTCCCCGCCTCTCCAGCCATGATAAGATAAGGAATCGAGATGCACAGACCAATTCAACCCTAAGCCCACAGAAGAGAAAAAACATTTGACCTTCGGAATCTCTTCTTTTCCCACTCGACCTCGACACCGACGACAACCAGCTAACCCGCCCAACCAGCCAACATCCCCATCAGTCAAAATGGCCCCCAAGGACGCGAAGAAAGGTACTTGAAAACCAGCTCCCGGCAGCAGCAGGAATTACACACTTGCGAGCGCAGCATTCCCAATTTTTATACACACAAAAACGCACACAATGGCGACTCGACAAAATCTCTTGTTTCGTCGACAGCGATGGGCAGAACGGTGACGGAACGGGGGATAACACCAATAATCTCTACGCCGAAGCCTCTCTTCTCCCGGAGCATCATGCTACAGCAGATTTTGCGAGTTCTTTTGAAAATAAAGAGCGATTGCTGATGCGACATCTCTACTCTAGGCGGTGCCTCCAAGGCGCCTAAGGGCTCCAAGCAGGCCAACAACGCTGCCAAGGCTGCCCTGAAGGGTGTAAGTACAAGCAAACGCTTATTCTCCCGTTATTCCAGGGACAACGAAGATCATCGTTGTCTACGCAGGATGGGCACTGTCTGCCGAAAACAAGCAGGAAACTTACAACCATCTTCCCTAGGCCCACGGTCACTACAAGAACAAGGTCCGCTACACCACCTCGTTCCACCGCCCCAAGACCCTCGTCGTCTCGCGCGCTCCCAAGTTCCCCCGCAAGTCGGTCCCCCACGCGCCCCGCCTCGACGAGCACAAGATCATCGTCCACCCCCTCAACACCGAGTCCGCCATGAAGAAGATTGAGGAGAACAACACCCTCGTCTTCATCGTCGACGTCAAGTCCAACAAGGCCCAGATCAAGCAGGCCCTCAAGAAGCTCTACGACATCGACACCGTCAAGATCAACACCCTGATCCGCCCCGACGGCTCCAAGAAGGCCTACGCCCGCCTCACCCCCGACGTCGATGCTCTTGACATCGCCGCCACCAAGCTGGCTCTCGTTTAAAGCGGATAGTACTTTTCGCGAGGGACTTGAAATGGGAATGGGAAATGAAAAAGTAAAAAGCTATTCGGGTTCATTGACTGTAAAAGGCATCGGCATGGGCGTCTCAAGGTTGTTGATACAGATTCCCCAGGAGTGGCATCTCCTCGAGGGCACCAATCGATTCTCCCGGTACTCAGGCTGGGGTACCATGACCATGTTCAGTCTCGAAAATGCTCATGAATGCGGAATTCGCTTCCTCCCGTGACAATCTTTCGGTTATCAAAACTTGAAAATTGCAATTGTGAAATCGATGTGACATGTGCCAGATGGCGTTGTATGACGAATGGTTTGCCATTCTATCTAGTAACATAGTTATACATATGCTTGTACATGAGCGACTTCAATACTAAGTTCTCCTACGCTCCTTTCTAATCCGGTCTACCGTTTCCCGTTCTAGTATGCCGTTTCCAAGCGTTCCGTTTTCTGTTTTCTCCAGCATGGGCGATCCTCTGTCAGTCCCTCCCGACCCCTTTAACCGGAGCGCATGTTGTTGAGGTGCTTCATCGTGAGGAAGTTGACGTCGAGGAATCTGTCAACGCAGTTGGCCAGGCATCCCTCCTCGCCCTTATCCAGCTTCGAGCCACGGATCGAGCCGCTGACGCACTTCTTCCAGCAAATCTCGGTGAGGGCATGGGTTTCTAATATCATGATTCGAATTAGCTGCCAATTATTTTCTTTCTGCGCCGCCATCCGGTTGAACCGCGCGAGACCGGGACCGCGCCCGTGTATGCTACCAATCCCCCCTCTACAGTCTCCCATCGCCTTCAATCTGCCATATTCCCCCAAGTACGCAGTTCTACGGATGAAGGAGGTATACTAACGTGACTGAATCTGAGATCTCTGCTGCTCGTTGGCGAGGAATTGGCGGAGCTCGAGCTTGTCCTTGTCGTTGAGCTTGTCGAGGTCCGAGTTCTCGAGCGCTGATCTTGAAGAGTCCATGGTTGCGGCTGTGTGGTAGTGTGCCCTGTGATTGACAGTATTGTTCTTCAATATGGATTACGAGTACCGAAAGGAAGGCGTATGATGGTTGCGACGAAAGGTAAGTAGTAAGGTAGGGTAGAGGTCGAAAGGCTTGAAGTGTTTGCCGCTCTGTGCTCCTTGAGTCCAGCTTTTTTTTGGTCTCCACTATAACATGGGCATCTCCCATTGGTTGAGTCTGTGTGTAGCTAAGAAACTAAGGGACAGTCATCATCATTAAGGCATTCACAAATAAGCTAAGTAGGCAATGCAGTGCAAGAAACATCTTTCTTAGCTTCCGTGATAGTGAACTGTGGATTGAACAAGCCTAGTTGATTACAGGCGTAGTTTACATGGAACATGTCTTGAAGTACCTCGAAACCGCTTGTTCTTTTCTCGCATCTACCAAGACTAAGACTAAAGTCGATTATTTGACAGAACAATACCATTATCCAATCCCATTGCTTGTTTTGTTGCTTGCACAAGCCATCACGATTATACCTCATGCCCTACTAGTATAGCGGCATACAAAGGAACCAAGTCGCAGCTTTGACAGCAGCGCTCCGATGCTTTCTTCAGATGTACTTGTACTTGCGAGCCAACGTCATGCTCACAACGCTGAAGAGAATCAAGCTTCCAAGGATGACAAAGAATGGAACAAGAGAAGTGTCCGCAAAAGGAACCGGGACGTTCATGCCGAACAGGCCACAAACGAGGTTGAGCGGAACGAGGATTGACGCCAGGAATGTGATCTTGCTGAGAACCAAGTTCGTGTGTGTACCCTGGGAGATACTGTTGATGGAAAGCTGGGCCAAGTAATTGCTGTGGGAGCGAGACAGAATCTTTTCGAAGTGGCCGAGGTTGGTGACCATGGTGACGACGTGATCTTGTATATCGCCAAGATAAAGTCCAATGTCCATCCGAGGGGTAACCTTGTAGTTCTCATTGCAACGCTTGGTAAAGCCTCGCAGGACATCAGCTTTGCCTCCAAGAAGGCGCATTAGAGCCATGGTGTTCTTGCGCACTCGGCCAATGGACCGCAGGAACTGGTTTGAATCGTCCTCGCGGGCTACGAAGACACCGTCCTCAATGGCGTCAGCCTCCAATTCGATGTCACGGATGACTGGAGCAAAGCAATCCACGATATCGTCACTACACAACATATTAGCACGGGTATTGACATTCGGCTTTGTCCACTTACATGAGAGCGTAGCAAATCCAGTCACTGCTCAACGCAACGTAGTCCCTGAGCAGGGCAATACGCTTGCGCACATGAGAAGCGTGGGCATTAGGCTCGAAGCTGAAGCTCAGAGTACCCTCGCGGAAGACGACGACGTAGAGGTTGTACGGCTCGTACTCCAAGCCATCGTCTTCCTGAACCGGGGTAAAGGATCGAAAGCTTGCAAAGTAGTACGAGGGAAACAGCTCAATCTTTTCCCGCGCCTCTTGGGTCGTAATATCCTCAATCGTCAAGGGATGGATACCGAATGCTTTGCAGATGGCGGTTACCTCCTCCTTTGTAGGATTGTTGACGTTCAACCACCAAACTCCGTCAGACTCATCGGCCGGGAGCGTGAAAAGGCCCCGAAGATCCTCGCCGGGAAGAACCAAGTCCCCGAGTTCTGCCGCGTGAATCGTTGATTCCCAAGCCGAAGAGAAGAAGCTGAACCGGTTGGGGTCCAGAGGCTGTTGGGCAGCTGCAGACTTATTCTTGGCCTCTTCGGCGAGATGCTCCTTCTCTGAGATCTCCTGCTCGTCAGAGGTGTCAGATGGCATGTTGACAATATCTCCATCTACAGTGCTGAGTTGCAGCTGAGGCTGGCCCTCAGACTTCTGTGTCTGTCGTAAATCCGGGAAGGCACGGAGAGAGTCGCGGCGACTAGCCGTTCGCGACGCCTGGTCAGACTGGACGAAATTCTCCAAGTAGTCGAAGTCGATGTACAGCTGGTCCTTGCGCCGGGGGTCTTGAAGAGGGAAGCAAACATCCTCCTCCGCTGACTGATTGGTGGCCAAGCTGGCGCCGTCATCCACCGTGTAAGGTCGACTGCGGTGGCTACGACGGCTGCTGATTGAGCCGGCGCAATGCAGATTCTCTTCACTGCCTTTCCTCTCAGCCTTGGACTCGGAGAAAGACATGCCACGCTCGCGGCGGCGCGCTTCGGCAAAGGCCTTGACCGAGTTGGGCGGGGAGATGGACCTCTGATCAGTGATGGTCTCAACGGTCGGTCGACGAACCCGTCGCGCATGCGGCGAGACGTCCCCTCCCTCATCATCGACAATTGCCTCTTCAAAGTCCCGAACCCGAATGCTTGGCGACCGCTCTCCGGAAACCGAGTCGGGTCCAAGCAAGCGCGCTCCATAAAGCGTATCGAAAGTGCCTCTCCGAGGCCGCTCCGGGTGAGGGCTGGTGGCGACCTGATGACGGTGGTCGTCGAGCTCAGGGATCGGCGTCTTGAAGCCACCCTCAGAGATGTTCTCCTCGTGGTCAGACATGTTGAGGTTTGGTGCTGAAAGCTGGTGGTATTGCTTGTCCCAACAGCCGACGAAAGGATTAACCTGCTCGTGTGTGGGTAGCTCGTTTAGGGGAATGGGTTATAAGTCTCAAACTCGTTCCTCTTCGAAGGCCTCCGCAACTCTTGAATCAGGCGGAAATACCCATAACTGATGCGTATTCAATGTAGACCGTAGCCGAATCGCACTCCGCGCGGCCGGCGCGGTGTGCGCTGAAAGAGTAGCGAGCTTCCAGGGTGGCTGTGATCGTGCCAGTCCCTAGAAGGTGCGTATACGCTGAGGAGACAGCGTTAACGCGCAAAGATGCTGAAGATGTGATGTGATGTTTCCAATGATTCCTTTTTCGATATTGAAACCTGATTACGGAGGTTTCTTGTGCACTCCGCTGTAGACCCAGAAACCAGGACCTCGGAGTGAACAGGTGGGAGAGGTAGCGTCAGCTGCGAGTGAAGCCAACTTGGTGGTTTGAAGCGTCGGGTAGAATATCAAGTGGGTCTTTCGACCTGGGGAACTCGAAAGTCGATTGCGATTTTACTGTCTATCGCAGCAGTTCGAATGATGCAATGGTGTATGAGGTCGTCGAGGTAGTTGTTTGTTAATACGAGCGGTGTTGAGGGAATCGGATGACGATCGAGGTACAATGGTCGTCGGTGGTGCGAATGGCGACCCAAGGATGCGGGACTTTGTCTTCGTCGTCCGGAAACAGTATGCGATTGTTGTGGTAGGTCGCTGGATCAACAACCAGAACAAGATCAGACTAAACTGATGAAGAAGAAAGCTGCTCTGACTGCTGCACAATCAAATGAGCAAAGATTTGGTTTGCACAGAAAAAGGAGTTGGGACGACAAGTTTTTTTTGTTGTCCTGAGCGTGTTGAGGGTTTTTTGAAATTTTTGGTGGTGAATGGAACCGAAAGATGACGGGGACGGCCAGAAGGTGATCAAATGCAAGGGAAGATTTCCCGGTTCTGAGTAAAAATCCGACTTTGGAGCCAGTGAGTCGCTAAGCTAGGTGGCGGCACAGGCCAGCCGAGAGAGAGAGAGAGACTTTTTTCTCAGGTTCCAGGCCAGGATGTCTGGGTGCCCGCGGGCGTGTCATACCATGGAGTGGAGCCGCGGCAGCACCGTGTGACCCCACACAGTCCTCTTAGCCTGTTTAGCCTGTACCCCATCGTTCGCCTTGTGGTTGGACTCTGCACCCAATAGCAGCTGCTAGAGCAGGAACATGGTGCCGAGTGGAAGCTTGCAAACACCTGAGGACCAGAGTCCGTGCTCGACTTGCTTCGGAAACGGCATACCTGTTCCCTACCTAATACTACCTACCTTACCTTACCTAAGGTACTTCGAGACTTCTGCTCCTTCCGCCATAATACCAGATCATCAACTGTTGATCGCCTCGAAACCACAGACCTAACCAAGTATTCGGACACACATCTACGGTCCGACATTCTGCACCTACGACTTGGCAAGGGGGCTGTTCACCACACCGACCCATCGTCTGGCGCATCTTCCAACTTCAACCGGCCCGGCCAACAACCAGAAAGAACAACTCTTGGACAGTTTCGCGGTGGTAGTTACAATGGCCGATCAAATTCTCGACAAGGTTCGCGATATCGCGGAAGGCCAGATCGTACGTCACCGGTGGAAACCGACCTTCCCCTCGGCGTCGTCTTTGACGCCTCTTTCACTTCCAGAGATTAACAATATGTTCCCTACAGGACTTTGAGGGCCAGAAACTGGCAGATCTCCTGGCGACTCTACTTCTCTCGGCATCTGGAGTAAGTTCCGACAAACGCTCGACTTCGACATGATGGCACTCCGTGCTGACTTTCCCTTCCCTACAGGTTCTTGCCTTCATCATCGGATACATTCTCCAGGACATCAAGCTCGCAGTCTACGTTGGCTTGGGCGGAACCGTTCTCACATTCCTCCTCGTCGTGCCTCCTTGGCCCTTTTTCAAGCAACATCCAGTCAAGTGGCTACAGCCTGGATCCACGTCCGGGTCCGGAGCACGGAATGTGGCTACAATAGAGAAGTCGGGATAGCCGGGAACAAAGACGTCAATTGTTCATCAAGTCATTTGTGATGTATGGTTCCTGCGTCTGTAACTGTGCCCACCCTTTAGGGCCTCTCTAGCTAGCTGTTTCAGCGAGCTGGACGCAGCCCTCGCTCGTCAGGAGAGTATCACGGATTGTATCCTTATTCTGCGTGGCCATGCCACCATAATGCTGCGTATCCATCGACCGAGATCCTCGCACCATTGTCTTGCGCCACTTCAGCGACCGTACTTCTGGAACTCCCAGTCGCGGTTGTCCAGCGGGCAGACTTGTCGAGCCTTGAGCCAACGTGAGATACAGTGGAAATGGAAAGCATGCTGCACATAGGTTAGCGAGAGTAGGCAGAAGTAGTAAAGAGAACATACGTTGCAGATACCCCAGGCCACAGTGCACTCTTCACTAGTAGCGGACGCTTGGTTTGCCTGGCATTCTATGCCTATGAATTGTTAGCATGCGAAAGGGCGAAACAGCGGGTTACCACGTCAGCGTCCAACTCACAAAGATCCATGATGTGGTTTCTGCAAATAGCGCAGTTGTCGACGACGATATCCCATGCCCACAATGCAACGGCATTCCACTAGAGGCACTTGTAAGCTTACGTCAAGCTATCGGTTCCCATCTACTCACCTTCTTGACTTCGAAGCGCTTCTTTGCGTCGACCGCCTTGCTGCTCTCGCCATCGGCGGCCTTCTTGGCAACGGCAGTGCCGGGCGCATCCGTCATGTCGACATCGGCCATGGTGGTATATGGGATCGGATACGGTTCGGGCTTCTGTTCAGGCGGTGAGTTTGAATACTGCGCGACCAAGCGATATCGGACAGAATCAGGATGGTAAGTCGAAAATCGAGGGGGAAGCAGCGGTTCGGCAGGGGAAGGCTTGTGGATAAGGCGTGAGAAGCGTACCTTTTCTGTGTCTTTAGAGGTGGTCAGCTAAGGTAAGTCCGATCAATGAGGTCAAAAGGGTTGCAGGCGGGCAGGCTAGCCTGTGTCGAGCCTTCCGGGTTGCGGGTAATTATCTTACAAAGATGACTCAAAGCAACTCTTCAAGTTTGCAGGGAGAGAAACGAGCTTTGGGGGGTTATTGCGGCCTTTGTCGTGTCTCGTTTGCTGACCGGGCTTCCGTGGTTTGGTGATGCATACGAATGGCGGGCAAGAAAGGCTGCCAGCGGGAGTGGCCCCGGTCCGTAAGGTAAGGCAGGCGCCTCATTCCACGCCTGCCTTGGCGGGGTTCATGAGGCGGAGAATGACCTACCGGCTCCCTTACGGTTTACAGTGCGGGAAACGAGGTCGCTGCTTGCCCCTCAGGACCGGGAATTAAGAGTCTCCTACTGTAGGTAAGGCAGGGGTACCTGTAAAACGCCCTGTAGGCCTGCCCATACCTTACCCGAGAGCGGCAAGTACTTCACAGTGAGGCACTAGAGATAGGTAACTTGAGCGAGTGGCTTACCTAAGCATGCCATGATACTACGGTGCTCAGTAAAGGCAGTCTTCCATTGACGTTACGGAAATGCGCACTGGGCTGCGAAAGGACCAACAAGTCACCACAAAATCTGATGGCATGAGATACCTTTCACAAACACTTTCCATTGCAAGATACCTGTACTATGGAGATTGGTACTCACCCACGCAACGCAGTCTCAATGGAGTGTCTTGCAACGGCTTCAGCCATCTGACATGTCGGGAGTAAGGGAACTCCAGCGTTTGTCTGACAGTCAGGACCTACTTTTGGGAGCGGCCTGACTGGCCCGACCTTCAGCAAATTGAAAGCACGCCTTGAAACCTGGCTACTGGTAAAGGTAACGAAACCATGGCCGTCGTCCAAGGCACTGTGCCCCTGCTTCCTACCTTGACTCTTGAGGAGTCGTAGTGACGCATTTCCTCCGAAACCCTAGGGCCGTGACTCGCACCAGCAACTTGTTGCCAATTTTGACGATGGAAAGCAAGGATGGTGAGGTAATGCGAGCCGTCCGGAGCTGAAGACAGGAGTAAGGCTGGAAGCGCACGTGAAGGGGTCGAGACGGAGATCCACCTCTCCCTTATCGGAGGTTACTGAGCCACGCGTAAGGTGCCTATGAGACAACTTGATAAAGGGGGGGGGGGATGAGAAAGGTACCTGCTTGGATGGGATCCATGATGGGATGGGATGGGATTGGCAGTGACACTGAGGGAACGGGATGACATACCTGCCACTGAGGTGCGCTACCTACGTAGGTGCCCAACGCGCCTTGCCAGTGTGGCCAGGTACCGTCCCCCCACGAGGAGAGGTTCAGGTTCCTCAGCGAACAAGCCCAATCTGGGCAGGTTTGGCAAGGCACACACGTACACCAGACATCTCCACCCAGCTGAAGGTCTCCTAGCACCGGGGTTACTTAAGCCCCTCCCCCCTCTTTCGCCGCATGCTGTGGCTGCGCTCCTCCCCCAACACTTTCCATTGTCACCTTACTCGACTCTTCAGCCCGTCACTCATTTGTACGGCAACATGAGCAGAGAATATACACGCGCTTTTCCTGCATCAGACACTGGCTTCTACTCTTCGCTTTTACTTTCTCCCAATCCGCTTCCTCAAACAGATCATCCTCCTGGCGCTTGAACGTAGCACAAAACACTACATCGGAACAACGAAAACCCAGCATCTCTAACCTTGCTTCAGCCAGCGTATCGAAGCCTTGTGACCGACAGATACCTGCCTTTCGCCACCATCATATCCTTACCTTCTCAATCAAGGCATTCTTTACCTTCAGCGACCATTGTCTAGGAATACTTGCCCTTTGTCGACTTTGACTTACCCCGGTCCCCACCCCGCGGTCGCTGCGACACATGCGATTACGCCACTCCTACGACTCAGAATGCAAGAAACAACAAATCAAGCAAAGCCAACGCCCACGCGTCGCCGACAGGGTCGGGGCGGTGGCGGCAAGGCTGCTGGACAGAAGATGTATGCATCCGAGACCGACGTCGCCAACGTCTCAGCGCTGGCCTACGAACAAGCCGGTCATCCTCATACCCCCCAGAAGTCATACTCTGGCTCGCCTGAGCCGCAGTCCGGCAACGGCAACCAACCTGGCTCTAAACAGCGCTCGCGCAACAAACCCCGGGCGAAGAACCCCAAAACCGTAGCTTCGCCCGACGTCACCCGCCAAAACCGCCGCTCGACCCCTCAGAGCATCCCGGTAAACAAGTCGGCAGCCGCCGCTTTCGCTGGCGCAACTTTCCATGCTTCGCCTGCTCCGTCAGCCTTACCTATGCCCAGCTTCTACTCCAAGTCCATTCCCGAATCTCCAGGACCCAGGCCGGAAGCTCAACAGCAGCCGTCACCTCCGGCAACCGAACGCCAACGTCCGACACCTCAGCATCCTGCGACCGCACGTAGAGCTCGCGAGTCGCCCCTTGACGCCATTTTCAGGGCCGACAGAGCTGAGAGGGAACAGGCGCGACGATCCAGTTCACTCAACTCGTCCGTTCAGACAGACGGTTCTGAGTCAACCGCTGCCCCTTCGCCCAAAGAGGCCAACCACGGTCCTTTCGTTGCGAAACCTTACAACACTCATCCTGGGCACTGTATGCCACTCCAGAGATCATCTAGTGGGATTTCGGCCCAGGAGCTTGACGGCTTTTCGGGAAAGCCCCTTGGCCCTGCCTTCTCCACCCCGTACCAAGAGCGAATCCGTGCTGCCCGCGGCGCTCCCAACCAGTCTCCGAATGGTACAAGACCTTCGCAGGTCTCGCCAGCTGAGGACCGCTCTGAAGCTCTGAAGAAGTATCTCTTCGGAGGCAAAGGCATGGCTTCGGCTGCTCAGCCACCAGCTTCGGCTCCGCCGGCTCAATACGTCCATAACGGCTTCATGGGAAACAATCCCGCACCTCAGGGCGACCAATCTGCCGACCTTCGCGCCATGGAGGACAACTTGCGCCGCATTCTGAAACTCGAGTCGCCTATGGCATCTACACAACCTGGGGATCGTCCTCTGTACTCTTAGGCGGCCATTGGCTGTCGATTGCAAACAACAACAACAACAACAACAACAACAAGGTTCATTACACTTGGTAATTCGAGCGTCACTTGGCTGGTTGGCTTTGTGCCGTTGTTCCTCTTTGGAAGACGCAGGGTTACTGGAAATCATCTGGCATGGAAACGGGAGTCTGCGCTGCTTCTATTTGATATGATTTGTTACTTTGTCTTGCTGGGTGTCTTGGGGTTGCGGGAAAGCGGGAAAGCGGCAGGAGCTCGCAGTTGCTTACGTGCCTACCTGAGATTCTACTTGATACCCGAAAGCGACGTTGATGTTTTCCCTTCAGTTAGGACCAATTCATATTCCGTTTCCATCTATCATGTCCGATTGTGTTTGTCTCCAGTCAGACTGAAGACTATCAGATGTACATCTAGTAGTGTCCATGGTTCAGCTTTGATCTGATATTTTTCTTCCTTGGGATACTTGGACGGTTAGCAAGAAAGGGTGGCGTTAGATGCTTCGGGGAATGGCTCTCTACAGGGTCAATATATCAATGATGTTTCTGTCCTTTGATCTTGATGAAGCACTATGGCTAGGCTGCGTGAGAAGATTACAATCATAGCTCGTGAACATCTCTTTGTCTGTACAAGTAAACCCCAGTTATCACAGTCTAATATTGTGAATTTGCTAACCAGAAACCGTGATGCAATGTTCCCCAGCTTCCCTCTTCGATACATGACATTTCGGGGCTAACTCCGTGGGTAAGTTCATGTTAAATGGTGAAGATCGTCCTTTGACCAAGTCAGAAATTGGGAGATAGACGTGAAGCTCTTCAAGGGCTTACTCCCAGAGGCTCAGATGGACAACGAGAGGCATTTCACGGCCATTGCGGGTGAGGTCGTCGCCACTGCCGCTGTTGACGTCCTGTTCGATGCACTGATTCTCACATTTCTTTGTGCCTCTTAATTGGCCAAACACCATAATCCAATGTATTAAGTGCATGGCTTCTTGTTAAGAGAATAGCATGCCTGTCATAATGCAACATGGGAGTAGGTGTGCTTCCGTCTGGAGCCCGGCTCACGATACCGACCTCTGACTGAGCATCCGTCAGCGGTGTCTTCCTTGGTTATCCATGGCTCAGTTCGTCGTCCTTTGGGAGGCTTTGATCAACTACATATTGTAGGAAAGCCCCCCCTCCTCCCTCCTCTAGTGGTGGAGGTACATTGGAGACTGTCAAGTCAATAAGGGCTTTATTCCAGTAGCTTTCGTTTGGCTGTGTGCTTCAAAGGGACTAGAATGTCTTGCGGGAGATATCTCTTGTAAGTCTCTCATTCAGGCAACATGGGAGATGGCCCATCTCCTGCCCCAATTTGGTCTCGCCGATGTAGAATGATTGCTCAATGGCGACCTCGTTGTTTGAATCCCGCTCTCACTGGATAGTCGCTCGGTATTGTCAACAAGCACGTGTACCCTAGCTTTGTTATATTCTCCCTTCAAGACAACTGGAAGAACCTTGACCCCGTCCGTCTCTAATATGGACGTCCTGAATCATGGAGCAAACATCACCAAGAGTCTTTGAGAGCTGTAAATTATCTCAACGGCTATGATTGGTGGCAGCATGACCAGCAGTGAGTATGTGAAGATCGATGCTCCATCAGCCCGCGCTGGAATCCTAGGACATTTGCCTGACGGTACTTCTATCTAGCCTGGCCCGTTGCTAAATGAAATGACATGATGAGAGAAGATTCCTTCTTCACGCAAGAGCCTTAGGTTGGGTTTCGATCTAAGCAGGGGCTGGATCGAGTTCTTTCTTCGTCCACTTCACCAATGTAGCTCATTAAGAGACTATATTCATGAACTAGTGTTTTCCATGTGCTTGTTCTGTGCTTCATTAGGAATTAGAGACGTCAGCGTCGCTGAGAAAATGAGTCTTCGAGTCGAGTATCCATAGGACTCAAAACTTCGAGAAGCATTCAATCACATGCCAGGTGACTCTCTACCTTGACCCCAGCATGGAAGTATCACTAAACCATACGATACGGAACCGTGTCTTCAACTCGGGGCTAATTTCGCCCCTGATTAGCATCTATAAAAGGTTAAAGTCCCTTCCGGCTGAAGCACTCAATGCAAGTTTGATACTTGGCTGCAGGTCCAAGTATCACCTGCCCTACCTTAGGGCTGTCTTGTTGTCATGCTCAAGTGGCACCTTAAGAGGGAGGAACATTGAAGGTTACGAACAGTATTATCTAGGCACATACACTCTTACTGAGTAATATTCTAACACATGTCGAAACGCATTGCGATTATCGGAAGTTACCACAGCACGCAGAGGAGGTGACTGATCAACCAAAATAACAAATACGTTTTGCCATCTCATAAATATTCAAGCGTTTACACGAGACCTGGCCAGTGGAGGAACGAGTCACCTAGACGAAGTGATGTTCAAGTCTAACATCTACATTGGATAAGTTGCCTTCGGTTTTGACACAGCCAGCCCCCAAGAATTAGAAAAAATGGAAAAGCCATATTAATAAATGCTCATATCGACCTTGACGACGGACACCATGGGTCAACTTGTGATGGTCCAGCATTGAGTGCGACAGTTAGACTGAATTTTGATATCGTCGTAACAACGATAACGTAAGCGGTCAACCGAGGTGACTATCTCGCGAATATGCATATATAGGGATGTGCGTCAAAAGGAATGTGCACACACGAAAGCACGTGACTTCGCGAGCTGACGTCCCAAAAGATGGGTCTTGGTTACACGTCGGCCGTGTAATTGACGTCGCCAGATGTTCACCATCATCGCCACAAGGTGGTCCTGTTGCCGACGCTTCACTGCCTTCGATTTCCTGCGAGAACTCAAACGTCAGGAAAATCGTCAGACTTCGATCGGAATTTCAGCCATTACTTCAAGCCAAGACCTGCAGCGATAGGCGGCAAACGGCCTTGCGAGCGAATATGAGCTCACACAATGACCGGGCGCGATCTCAGTCGCCAAGCGCAGACGACGATCCAGATCTTGCGTTAGCCATTGCGCTTTCCTTACAGCAAGAGGAAATTGACAATAACGATAGAGCCAAGGCTGCGTCACCTGCAACGAAGGCCCCGACATTGTCGGTCACTAACACAGGCCCTCTGGGGCTGTTGGCTCTCGACCGGAAGAAGATGGAAGAGGAACGCATAGCAAGACTCAAGAAGCGTTCAGCGACGGAGGCTGGTATCGATATCCAGCCGTCACAGAGATCAAAGATGCAACGCCCTGAAGCCTCCGAGAGCCACAAGGCTACTGTTGCTACGACGTCCAAGGCAACACCAGCACCACCAGCAACACCAGCCGCAAATGCTTCGGAATTGCCATTTCCGAAAGGAACTTTCAAGCGTACTTGGGCCTACGGCAGTCCCAGAAACGGGGAAGACATCAAGATCGAGGAAGTCCTCCAGAAGGACAAACTGCAGCTGGCTGTGCTCTCATCCTTCCAATGGGACGAGAAATGGCTTCTCTCGAAGGTCAATGCCCGAAATACCAAGATGCTTCTAGTCGCCTATGCGAACAACGATGCCGAGGTATGTTCGAATGACACGTCATATTGATGGGTCGAGCGCTGAGTGTGCGCTTCATTACTCTAGAAAGCCAACATCCGTTCCAACATTCCAGCTGGCAGTCTTATCAAATTTTGCTTCCCGCCAATGCATGGCGGACACATGCATTCCAAGTTGCAGATATTGAAGTATGAAGGGTAAGTTGATTCTTCATTGTTTGAGCTATCAGCAGCCACCTAACACCGATTTGCAGCTACCTCCGTATTGTAATTCCTTCCGGCAATCTGGTACCGTTTGACTGGGGAGAGACGGGCGGGCTGGAAAACGTTTGAGCTCCCAACTTCAGTTATTCTCGATGGTCTGGCTGACTTCTCCCAGATGGTCTTCCTGATCGACTTGCCCCGGCTCAATGGACCATCTTTCGAGACACCATTTGGCACCGAGCTCCGACGTTTCCTGAGAGCGCTTGGCCTCGACGAGAAATTAGTGAAGAGTCTGGACAATTACGACTTCTCCGAGACAAGCCGTTATGGTTTCATTCACTCCATGTCAGTAGCAACAGCCAACTATAAGATGACATCCTGACTGACGGCTGACATCGACCCATAGCTCTGGCAGCCACACCAAGGAAGCTTGGCAACATACAGGCCAGTCTACCCGTTCCGCTCGGGACGCGATGACTTCATGTTCGTGGCGAGTCAAATTGTGCTGACTTAGACTTTCAATTAGGCTACTGCGGCTTAGGGAGCAGTGTCCGAAGCTTGGGTTTGGCAACCGAGAATGCCGTTGACATTGACTATGTTGTACGTAGGTGGTCTGCGCGGTCTTTTGGCTGAGCAAGTTGCCCAGCTCTTGGCGAGCGGTGACCAGGGGTGTTGCTAACCAATTTGTCATCCCAGGCATCTTCACTGGGATCGCTGAACCATGGGTTCTTAACGACGATATACTATGCCTGTCAAGGTGCGTCTGGTTGCAATCAAGTCCGCTGAGGTTTGACAGGGCGAAAAGATCAGCATACTAACGCCCCAGCGCTGGCGCTCCTTGCAGGCGACTCAGGCATGAAAGAATACGAAGCCAGGCAGTCCAAAACGACCAAGAACAAGGCTGCAAAAACAGGCTTGGGTGGTCTCAGACCGGTCGACATTGACAAGGAGCCGCTCCAATTGCAGCATCATTTCCGCATCTATTTTCCTACCGAAAAGACCGTTTCTAGTAGCCGGGGCGGTAGATCTGTAAGTTGTGTGCCGGCCGGGATCGCCGCGTTACCGGTCGATCCTGCTGCCCAAGTCCCCATGTATTTTCCCCGTATGCTCATTTTACGTGATTTAGTCTGCCGGCACCATTTGCGTACAAGAGAAATGGTGGAATTCTTCAACGTTTCCGCGAGAATTAATGCGAGATTGCCAGAGCGTCAGAAGTGGCCTATTGCTACATAGCAAAGCCATATTTGTCCGTGAGCGGGCGCACGACGGCGCAGTCTGGGCATACGTGGGGAGTGCAAACTTGTCGGAGAGCGCATGGTGAGTCAAACAGGAACCCTCGCGATTGGCCTGCACGCTACCCTTAGCGGTAAGGGCTGTGTGACGAAGAGTGAAGGGGCAATCTAGTGTACTGTCTCGTCTTGGTGAGGGACAATAGCACAGAAGGGGCAAAGCCTACTGTCTAAGGGCAGCGTGAAGAAACGACGTGGGTCGATCATAGGGCTGACCTAGATTGAACTTTTAGGGGCCGGTTAGTGAAGGACCGGGAGTCGGGAACGGCCAAGCTCTCTTGTCGCAACTGGGAGTGCGGTGTGTTAGTCGCGGTTAAGGGCAGCTCGGCAGGGACTGCGGACCAAAACGCACAGGGACAGTCGCGTCCGCGGGCAAAGGCGCAGACTTGGACGCTCGAGGGGCATGCCGAGAGCGAGGAGACAGTGAAGGGCAAGGAGGGAACGACGGCGGCAGCGGCAGTAAGCATGGGGAAGCGGCGGCATCAGCAGCTCGATCAGGACGGATCGGTGGGCCTCGACGGAGTGTTTGGAGCGACGATGCCCATTCCAATGAGGGTGCCGGCGAGGCGCTACACGTCAGATGAATCGGCAGCCAGCCGGCCATGGTTTTTTATGAAGGCCGACTGAAGTGAGCAAGCAGGGGTGGGGGTGTGATTCAGCTGAGACATCATTCTGGAGGATGACCAGTGGCAGCTAAGTAAGAGCAGCACCAGTGAGCATGCAGCATGGAGAGCGAGGGGGGGAGAGAGAGTGAGAGTGAGAGTGAGAGAGAAAGAGAGAGATAGCATGGAGCTAAGCGTGTGCAGACTGCAAAGCACGGACGTGGATCTTCACGGATGGCATGGCGTCGTCTCAACCTGGAGCAAGCCCCGGGTCGGCCGGGCTAATTAGCCCTCCGATGGCGGTACCAATCCTGCCGTACCTAGCTTGCAAGCCAGCAGCCAGCTTCTTCTGTCTAGCGTTCTGCAACTGGGTGTAGTGGGCTAGTCTACTCTTAGGAAGCGAATGGATAGGTACCAATTCCAAGTGCTTGCGCTCCAACGCAATCCTGCAGAAGTTGCGAGAATGTCTTCGTGCTTTCCCCCCTCATGGCGCCTAGTGGCGGCCGTTGTCGGGTTGCAGATAGTGAGCGAGGAGGACAAGACGCTACGGATACTTACGTTAGTGTCCATGTGAGTGAGGATGGAATCCGAATGCGGCGAAGGGACTGCTGCACGATGCGCAGTTGACGGACTGCTAGACGCACATTGGAGTATTCCACGATACCGAAGGACAGGTTGGCCCACATGCCGGACAAACCTGATGGGCTGGGTATGGATAAGCAGACCTTGTCGACGTTGCAGTTCAGCAATATAATTAAATACAAATCGATGATGGAGATGTTCAGAGGCCCCAGAAGGGGATGGGGGGGGGGTGGAGGCTCGTTGTCAGTCAGGGGCCAGGTCTATGGAAACAATAAGTAAGTCGATGTGTGTAAGGGGCGGGATCGATGGGAAAGTGGCCGGTTGATCAGGGGTGAATCTATCGGACGCAACGGTGAGGTGTGTTGCAGACATACGTACAATTACGGGATACTGGTTGTAGCGGAGGTAATGTTCGTCGGCGATTGGGTGATGCTTGGCCTTGATGGGCATTGGTAAATGGAACGGGGTCAAGAGAAAATGATATGAGGATGGATGGCGAAGAAAGCGAAAGAGAAAGAGAGAGTGGCTCCCAATGGCCGGCGGTGTTTGATGGTTCGTGATGCGTGAAGTGGGCGGCGAATGAATGAGGAAGGGAGGGGATGGAGTTGGATTTACCGTCCGCACCAGTAGCCGCACCGAAGCATATGGATACTAGTCCATGCGGCTATTCTCATTATCCGTAGATAGCACGGGAAGTTATTCAGAATGCAGCTGGTGATTGGTGGTTTTGGTTATTTATTTTTGTCTTGTCTACGTTTCGCGTCATCTTAAAATTTGTTTCCCGACCCCTCCAAAATTGTTGTCCAGCAGGACAGCATTGGGGGAGAACCGATGTCTTGGCAACGAGGTTTGCGTGTCATGATGGTCTGCTCTGCTGGCTTGCAGGTCGAGATGAAGGCGAAGATGAAGGCGAAGTTGGTGTTGAAGTTGATCAAAATTTGCTGCCAAGACTCTAATCCAAGCGTGGCACGCGTGCGGTATTGCAATGCCGGTCGGTACACAAGCAAGATGAGGTCTCACCATCATTCCCCCCAATGTGGATGAGACATGCATAGCAACGAAGTCCCAGTCCCATGGTCCCCAAGTCCCCAATCCAGGTCCCAAGACTCCAGAATCCGAGGTGAAGGTGAGATGGAGCGTTTGGATGCGGTGTAGTGCGGATATACTACAATGTACAAGCCCGCTTTGGAAGCTTGGCACAGTCGGGGTCCTTGTCAAGTTGGGCCGCTAGTGCGAACTCCGGATTGTGAGATCGCAGCTCTTTTCTGGTGCCAAACACTGGTTCCCTTTTCTTTTTCGGATTGTGGTGTGAATGGTTGGGGGTTGGCGTGCTGCGTGGGGAGCAAAGTGGTGCGTGGGCGGGACCTGGGATATGCGTGGGTGTCGTGTGGGTGTCGTGTGGGTGTAAATCTTTCCTTCATCGGACACACTCCCCCCCCCCCTTCTCTCTCTGTCTTTCTCTCTTTCTCTCTCGGTACTTCGTATAAATACCTACCTCACTAGTGTGCGGATATATACAGTAAGTACTGACTACTGAGTACCTACCTACGGATAGAGAGGAATGAATTATTAGTCTCTGTGCATCATATGGAAGCGTATCTGTATAGGGCATCTCTCCCTTTCTCTCTTCTCACTGGTTGGCAATGTGGAGGACAACTCCATTTCCTCCATCTACTCCCCTACCCACCCTATATCTACCCCTCGTCAGACAGTCTAGGTACAGAGAGAGGGAGAGAAGAGGAAAGGATCAATATGCATGGAGGGTCCTTATTGGCAGTGAGTGACCACTGACAGGGCCACACTTACTGACACAACATGGCCTACCTAACTTCTGTTCCATCATTTTCTTTTTGTTCCACATCCTGCTTTCCCACTCTTTTGATCATGTCGTCCACAAGCCTCGTGAGCTACATGTGTCGCTGACATCGCTCTGCGTGTGAAGCATCAGATCGTTGCCGCCTTTGGAGTCGTTCCCTTTTCTTAGCTTGGGGCTATGGTTTGGAGTCCCCGTCCAAACGTTTTGGCGGATATTTCTGCTCGGGGAGATGGTGGAGCAGCGATCAACTTTTCTGCCGGAACCACGACATGGGCTTGATTGGTTCAGAGATGGGATAACTCGGTTGGGTACGGATACAGATGCTGAAAGAAAAGATGGTGGGTAGAGTTGGGTTGAGTTGCTTCCTAGAATCCCAGCCTCTTACCAGTGCCACAGTAAACAGAGTACGGAGTACAGTCACCAGGAACAGGAGGGGGAGGGGAAGGGGAAGGGGGATGTGTAACTGCAAGCAGATGAACGGCCGAGATGGAGGAGGAGGGAGGAGGGAGAAGGGGTTCCGGCGCCGGAATGCGGACTTGTCACGGCCGCACGCACCGGCACCATCCACCCCCTTGCTGTTGGTCTTTGCCATTTGGTGTGGTTTTGGCCTGTCTGATGTGTCTGAAGTCACAAGTGTCGTCCCTTTTAGTTTCCTTAACCATCAATGTTATCCGGCGTGCGGTTATGTATGCTAAGAAGTGTCATCTAGTTGCAGTGGGACAACGTACGTGATGGAGTCACATCAGTGCTACCACCTCACGCTACCCGACTGCTCGCCAGCCGGACAAGGGCTTCCTGAGAGTTGAATAATGTGACATGGCGCCGCTACTTAACCCACTCATACCGGATGGGCCGAGTTTCTTTCTAGGGGCCCGGGGGACCTTTGCCTGTCTGCCCGGACAGATATTACGTTAACCAACGAGATTTAGCCAAGGGAAGCATCGTATGGAGACAAACAGTCTGACTACTAGCAAGAGAGGTAGGTATTCGGACGGATACCTACAGGCTAATAGTGTCAAGACTCGAGAGTCAAGGACTAAGAGGAGGAGGCGATGATGGCAGAGATGAGATCAAAACCAGTTCATCGGACAGGGTCTAGGGCACCGGGGACCAAAACGTTTCAACTCTGCTGTGAAGAAAATGAATGGCGCTATACCATAATGGGGGGGGAGTGGGAAGCCAAGCAAGTTGCAGGCAAGCCGCAAATTGGAATAGGAGCCAAAAAATAGACATTTTAGTCTATTTTGCCGCGGGTAGGAAGAGCATGGGAATTTCTCTGATCTGATCTAAGGATCCCTTGGACTTTGGAGACTGGACTCTGGAGACTGGACTCTGAAGACTGGACTCTGAAGACTGGACTCTGGAGACTGGAGACTGGATACTTCTTTGGAGCAGGGCAAGCCCGCAAGGCAGGCCTCAGTCCTGGCACCAGACAAAGAGGCGGAGACGGGCACTTTTGTCGTTGATCTAATTACCTGCACCCCGCCAACTACTACACGGCAATTTCTGTGCTACAGCGGCCCCGGCAAAGACCATGGGGAAACATCTCACTCAACGGGCGTACAGGGACAGGGGCGGCACGGCGGGGACATGGAATGATGAAGTACTCCGTATCAAGTATCCGTATTCTCTTCGTATGAAAAAATAGGTACGGAGTACAGAGTACTTTTGTCACTTTTGAGTACGTGATGGACCTCCTTGGCCCATGTCTCGGCAGCTGCTTCGCCGCCATGTTGTTAAGCTTCCAGTCTTCCCGCTTCCACGCAGCCAAATGGCGCGCCACTTCCGAATCCTCTAGGGGCCCAGAGAGCTGCACCGGGATTGACATTGGTTCTTACCAGCCTGGCCGCTGCTCTTGGTGTAAGCCGCGGCGGCTTCGGGCCCAGGGGAATGGTTGAGGTCTGAACCAGGGCAAGGGGGGTGCCAGCGGGGGCGTTCCAGGGAGAGGGGGTCGGTCGCTGTGAGCGAGATCGGAATTGTGGGAGTTACTCTTTGTCCGTCATAGTCCTTTTCACCTATTATCTAGACGGGTAGCTAGGCATGTTGACGAGTGATCAACAAGTATGCAGATGGCAGAGTAGATCGAACTGCATCCGCATCGCCTAATCTTGCTAGCTGGGAGTCCAAGTATGAGCCTGCTGCAAAACCCTTGGCCCGTCAATGCTAGGGGCCAAGGGCCCAAGATTGACCAACTTCGCCAAATACTGCCCTGTCTTATTCACGGGGGCGTCTTTTCGCTCGCGTTCCTCTGCTAGACCTCGTTGCGGCTTGGTCCGCGGCGTGCTAAGAGAGAATGTGGGCAAGGCGAGGCGCCAAAAAGCCAAGCCCTAGCTTCTCGAGTGCCAAGATGGAGTCGGAGCTATGGACACACACAGCAACTGGCGAGTCGATATCGCGCTTGGCTTGGCTTTGGTGGAAGACACCACCCATATTTTGTGTGGCGTAGGTTCATGTACCTACCGTAACGTCAGGTTGGCGGGAGGGGTCCCGAAGCTCATGCAACACTGCCGCAGACTAGGCGATATGGATCATGGCGGGGTGTTAGGGTGGCGACGGAGAGGGAAGCGTAGAGAAAGTCCATTGGACCCGCGGGCCTTAGCCATCCCGATGACGACGGACAGACGAAGCGGTGGCTTGTTCGCGCTCCTGGCTAGTAGCCGCATAAGCATTATGGTATCATTTCCACAGCCCTAGCGGCTTCTGGGGCGCTTCTCAAATAAGAGGCGCGCCAAGATATATCTTGGCATGATGATTTTTTTCGTGGCACGCGTACGTATGTATACACGGCAAACGAGATGATCAATTCTTGAA